TTTGATATTTTGCAAATGAAGTATTCACAGTATGGTTCTTAGATTTTACTAAGATGTTCTGAATCTTTATATTCTTATTCGACTATTCACACTTGTGTTTTCGTTCACTAAAAAAAACAAGATGTTCATATAAATTAATTTACCTAAATAATGATTGATGAACCATGAAAAAATCAGAACACAGTAGATAGCTGTTTTATCATAGTTTCAGACTGTTTATCCTCCCACAAATATCATCACATGTACGGCTAAACCAAGATCTTCCTATATACTGGTGGATAAGATACCACCGAGCCCTATAGTCTAAATTTAGTACATTCTTGTTTAAATTCATTCAATTTGTGGCAATCAGTGATCGTCATTTAATGTAGCTGCCTCACTCCCAACTTAGATGACTAGAGCTGTCTCTGACACTCACAGCAATATCATCAGTGTTGATTCCTGACATTAAAATAGGAAGTAGCCGTTATTTTGGTAACTATACTTCGGTTTAATTTATTACGAAACAATACGAAGTATACATTTCATGATGATTGAGCCCAAAATGTATCTGTCGTTACTGTTGTTAGGATGTACTGAAATTTGACGATATCCTTTAGGGTATAAGACAAAAACACTATTTATATACCTGTGGGTTGACATCGAATCATCCACAGTTTTAACAGCGTAACCGTCATATATTATTATTAATGGCTTTATTCAATATTATATTTTGGTACAATATAGAAACCATCTTCAACACACCTTGGTACTCCAAAATTTTATCTTGAGATTGTCTATGAACACTCATAAAGGTTCGATTCATCTAATTTCAAAACGTTTATGAACTTTTGCTATATATATATTAGGACGTTCACAAGTAATTAATAAATCGGTTATTTTAACAATTTAGTTAGTGTAGCTATCATATTTGTTTTGAACAGAACAGCTGTATGTTGTCTCGTTGTAATTATAAATGTTACACTAACAACTAAAATCAGTGTTCAATGTTTGTTACAGTTGTTTTGCTGTATATCGAATACTCGATTTATACATTTCACATCCGTTATTAAATGATTCCAGTTAGTATAATAATTAAATGTATTTTTTCCTTCGATATTGCAATTCAAATGTAGTGAAATTTATCGTTTTTCACAAAACGTGATGTTGTATTAACTTCAATAAAAACTTTAGTTAGTATAAGACCTTTGCGGAGATTCTTGAATTTTCATAGTTTGCAGAGCTTATTTAAGCAGTTATTAAAAACCAGGAAGCAATGATTTAGTTGACATGAGGTTAGGCGCTTGCCACTAGACGGAAGGTTCTGTGTTTGTTCTGTATCGTAGTTTTGGAACCCCGGTAATGAAGAGTCATATTGCGACAAAACAGATGTCCAGTGTTTTCTGGTTTCAAAAAGAATACCTAATTAAAATCTGCCTATATTGTTGACTACGATAACAATTGATGATAACAGCTCTTAAATATATGTAAATCATTAAATCATGCAAACGAACATCATAAAATACAATTATTAGTGTTTAAACAAAGTAATAATAAGAGAACACAGTTAGTTCGTTGTATTCTATTGTTATCTATTCAGGTAAATGTAAGTTAATTATCTTATTTCAAATTGTGTTAATAATTTGAAACTTATAATAACTGCTTATTGTTTGAAATAGAAATTGAGTTAGTAAAGTACATCGTTAAAACTTTAATACTTAACTTGACATTCCAAACAACTTATTCATCATTGATGGACAATTCATAATTAAAAATCTTCAAATTTTGTCAATAACGTGTGGTAACTAAGCTAACTACTTTTTATGTAGCTGAAGAGAAAGCGACGAAAAACAATATCATTATGTTCTACAGATTGTATCCTCTGTGATTCGTTTAAACTCGTGAAGAAAACCAATAAATAAATAAATAAAAGCGACTATTGAAGTGAAAGATATTTTTGGAAGCCTATTATGAGTTCGTGATAAAGTCTTTCTTTAGTCAACATAATCGTCTCCACCATGACACATTTTATGTTATCCTGATGTTACCAGAATGTATACCTGATAGAAATATCAAATTATTCACTTGAAAACACACTGATAGTTATTAGGTAAACGGTTGTTCATTTTTCATCATATCTGCTAAAGAATTTTAAATTAGTCTGGACATAGGTACTAATATGCAACCAGAATAATATTTAAAGCCTATAAATGAAACTAATGTATTTTGCTAAACTACTTATTTCTTAACGCTTAATGATCATGTGAATGTATATTAGTATCTTCAATCGATTAGTAATTTTTCATCGCCGTAACTAAACATAACGCTTTGTTAGATATGTTTTGATTAAATATCAAGCCATCAATGATAACTTCTTGATGACACTCATAAATAACATCTTTCATCACCCCAAGAAACAAAGTCCTGTGTTATGTTTCAGTGGCGTCCAATTTTGTCTTTTTCAGTTTATATGCCTTCATCAATTAAGTAAATGCTCAGTGTCGCTAAAAATACTATAAAACAAAGATATTTACAAACTGATTACTGTTATACATACATGGTTAACCCTTTAAAATAATCGGATTTATGTGGTTTATATTGGATCCTAATTTTAGTTCATAGTGTGCGCTTTCATGAAGTCGTGAACTGGAACAAAAATTTATCCAATGTTCCGTTCTTTGGAATGGTTGTCTATGTTAATTTAGGACATCAATTGAAGTTTATTCAAAATGACCAAAGTTCATTTTGTATTACGCTTAGTCAGTAGTTTTAATGGTTGATTGTTCTATGGGAAACCTTGAGATATTGGTTATGACACCTGAAGAGATCTTGGATATCTATTTCTAAGGTGTTCGATGTTATGAGATGACAGATTTTCAGTGTTCTTTTATTTCAAATTTTCAAATCAATGAGATTTATCTATGTTGAATATAAACTATAAATTACTTCAGTTACTTTTAACATCTAACATATTAAATGTGGCTGACACTTAAAAATATTGACATTGAGTATATTTATTTTGGCATATCCATAATTATTGATATAATTAAAAGAAAACATCAATTGTATTTATCGAAATCATCTGAATTGTCAAGAGAATTTAATAAAATTAAGCATGAACTTTAAGAATAATTAAAATTTGTTGTGGAAATTTCGCTACGAGATTAATGGTTCTGTGAATGATGTCAGATAATCAGATTCTTCTTTGTTTACTTGATATTTGGTAATAAAATATTTTACAAAAAATAATAACTGTTACTTATTTCCCCATTATTCATCATCAAATAGTTCAGGTATTCGGTGAGTAGAAATAACACACTGATAAGCATTAGTGACTAGGGTAAGAAAATAAGTCAGTAAAATGATCCCTGTCTATGTACCAATTTAACCCACAGTTCAGTAAGCATTTTTCAGCCCATGGTGACTAAATTATAAAAAGTAATATTTCAGAGGAGCTTGGATTCACTAGAACTCCAGCAACAAGAAAACGTAAAACCTTGGTAACAATATCATAATCGTTAAACTGATTATTGTCTGTCTGAATTGATTGGTCTGGTGAACAACGTCTAGGTGTTTGAAGTGATAGATATCAAATTCTCATATCATTATGAATATCGCTGTAATACAGATATACTTAGTTGACTAATTAGAATAATCAGTACAGGGTTGTGGAGATAGTTGAGTTTTGATTGAGATCATGAACAGATGAATGTTAGACCACCGTTGAAAACCTGAAAACACTGAACGGCCGTTTCAACCTAGTATTGGACTCCTCAGTAGTGCACATCCACGATCCCAGCTCACGAGATTTGAACCCAGGACCTATCAATCTCGCACGTGAGCGCTTAACCACTATACCACTGAGCCGGCCGGCATCCAACAGTGTTAATGTCTAACTTCAACTAATCCATGAAATTGAGAGACATTGAAATTACTATAATATCCACAAAAAGCCTTCTGATATATAAAATTAGTAAAAATTCCATATGATAAGTGTCATTTGTATAAAAAGGGAATAGGGTTGAATTTAACATTGTATTTAGATGTTTTCATTATTTTTACATTGGCGATACATCCTTATTGACCATCATTATGTTAACGTTTTTCTCTCTCATATAACATTTATCGAGTTGTTTCTAATTAATTTACACCTGGAATTTAAAGCCATTAAAAATATATAATTAAAGTTATATGCACCCTTTTTAACCCTACCAGATATTTGAACTGATTAGCATTCTTAGTTACATGGAAAATTACTGAAGTAAAAATTTCATGAGAATTAACTGAATTAAAGTAGATTTTAAAAATTAATCAACTATGGCATTTCTTCAACGTTGAAGTAGTTTCCTTTGAACAACTAAGCATATTACACAGTGATATATGTATACAAGATGTAATTCATCTTTATCACTATCTAAAGCAAAGACTCAACAAAGTTAATTTTTGTATACATGACTCATATATATTGATTCAGATATACTGTCACTGATACCTTATATGACCGTTAGTCTGTTTTCTTTTAGGTATTCAAATTATGAAGATTATCAGTTTCATCATTTTCAGACGTATTCAACTGAATATTATGTGTAAAACTGACAGATTTTTCAGTGCTCTTATGTACCATATACATTTTTATGGTTAAACAATATTTTACATTTATCAATAGAATCTAAAACTGACATTATTGTGAAATGTTACTATCTAAGATACTACTGGTTTTGAGAATTACTTAAATATATTTTATTCATGATGCCCTAATTAGCTGTCTATTATGTGGATGTAAGACATTTGATTTTCCTGCGTATTTTATATATGCTATCATAGCCTTTTGGTAATACAAATAACATACCGATTAGAAGGTAAGTTGTGACTTAAAATATATTTACTTGAGAAACCCAACTGTATAAAACAGTAACTTATTTCTTATAATTTTCATTAACATTTCCTCTTCTTTTCTTTGATTAGGAATACTTATTGTATTAAACAAACGTTTACTGGCTAACAAAAAGTAAACTGAAATTATGGAGTGTTTAAAGTCAGTACCTGTTGACAAATGTTGTTTAGTTGTACAAATGCCAACAGTTGAAGAAATGAAACGTGAAGTTGCTAATATTACATGTGAAATGCAATCAGTTTATATTGACAATTCAATTGTGTTACCATCATCAGAATTGCCAACAACCATTGCATCACAAGATACCATTACTACTACTACTGCTACTACTGTTTTAAATAATTTCAATTCAATAAATTATCATACAATCCAGTTGGATAATAATACAACTACTGAAATAAATTCAATTAATTCTAATGTAAATGATAAATCAACTATGAATTTTACGGTAAATCATTTTATTCCCATGAATGATAACGCTTATTTTGTATGAAGTACAGTTATAAGTTATATATCTATTTGTCAATTATAACAATCCTTGTTAAATAATAATTGTTTACAATTTCTCGACCATACACGATGATGTATATATGCAGAGTTATTACCATGAGAATTTGTATAGTTAACCTCTGTTATATTGTATATAATTCATTCCTTGAGATACGTCCAATGATATATACATATAATTATAAACAGAATAATGAATGAATAATAAACATGACCTAACAATATGATATATCAGTCAAAGACATAACAATTCCAAATGGCACAAGTTTAGTTTTTAAAAATCACTTGAATCCTGGTAGTTTTAACTATATAAATGTAAATGGATTTCATATTGTAACTTCGTATGAAAGATTATAGTGTTGTTCATATAATGCAACATGTAAAATAAGAGATATGATGTTTATGTCGATAACGTGATTGGTATACTTTAAAATTTCAAATTTCGTAGACTCGAAATACAGTATTATTCATTACTTAAACAGGATATGAGAGTTTATAAATTAGATTAAGTATTAGAAACAACTAACTGATTAAATTCACTTGGTATAGTTTACTTGAATCTTCCCATTGATGTTTAGGACTAAAATTGATCAGTCTCTTATTGGCATATGTGCATACTATGTGTATTGCATCGATATCGCCTTTTGATATTGCCGTTTGAAGTGAATGGTACTAGGTTCGAGTCCCAGGGTGAACGTCAACACTGAAATGCGGGTACATCCAGTTGACGAGTCCAAAATAGGACTAAACACGCGTCCTAAATTCCACTGCTAGCCACTATCCATCTTTGCTTATAATCTACTGATATTTGCGTGATTAACAACTTTCGATTAGCATATTCCTACAAAATTCTATTACAAGAACTAAGTCTTATTAGTATGTTAATCACTGTTTAAATAGAATAAAACAATCAAATAAATGTATTTCATTCCATTCTTCAAATGATTCACATTAATAGTTCAAACAACATCTATATACTAAGATTCATCATATACCAAAATTTATATATACCATTTTTCAACCATTTCAAATATCATTATTTAATTGCTAACATGGCGCCAATTAAATATATTGATTCATTACAACAAATTCTACACAAAATTGAAATTCATTTAATACATTATAATTATGAATAGATTTGTAATCTACCTTCTTTTTTTAATAAACAAATTATTACTTCTATGCAGTCGATAATTTACATTGTTAACATGGTAACTAATTCAATCATATTTCATTAAAAATAGAATAGTAATAATAAAATCGATATATTTCTCATCAAGTTATCAAATCAATAAATGATTCTAAATAAACCATTGTTAAATTAAATCATAAAATTAGATTGATTTCATTATGAAATTTGATCCTTTTTGTATCTACCTAAATAAAGGAATAAAAATTTCTTAACTTTTAAAAAATAAAATACATTGAAAGTTAAACAAGCTATTAAAGATTAAAACCTTTAAAACTTATTTTTGGATTACAGATTTAAAATAAATTATACACCTGTTATATCATATTTCAGTAGTGACTAGCAGTGGAATGTGTTTCATCTTGTTATGGCTTCATCAGCTAAGTATATATTCAGTTCATTGATGATATGTATACTGACATTCGAATAAAGTAAACATTGGTTCAATAATCAAGTTATTACTAGTTACTTGATACAAAAGTCATCGCTTGTCTAATAAATAGGATATCTTTTTAGATGAAGAAGAATTGCGAGTTTTTAATTTATAGGCTATAAGGGGCTGATGAATCTTCTCATGTTTTGACAAAACAGTTGTCTAGCGCTCCCTGGTTTTCAGTGGTATCCTTATTGCGATCAATCTGTGACGGGCGTCATCTACAAATGGGATATCTATTTTTTTCAAATGGAAAGCTTACGATATTCAGGACAGTGTTTGATAAAACTTTGTTGGGATATTAGTTACTTGATTGGGCATATAGTATAGTCCGTATCTACAGAGTATCTTTGCATGATGGCAATTGGTGGGATTCGGTAAAGAACTTCCGTTCTTTTCATAACTAACGAACATCAAGAATTTAGATTCAACTATTTATGGACATATTAGAACTTGAACGGTGACTACCAATATGAAGTCTTGAAATCAAGTTGAATTGTATTCGCGGGTGTTAAACTTAACCTAAAGGTTGAGAGACAAATTATTGCATCATACAAACTGTTAGTCCAAAGTAATAACTACCAACTTGATGGTTTGTTTAGTGCGCATTTATTTATTAGATCTAAATATTATCAAGCTGTTAGGTAGCTATGTCTTTTCAGATAAAAGAAATCTCAGTTTAGTTTTTAAAGTGCATGTTTATTGTTCTTGCATTTTGTCTTTTTTCTAACTTTTCATCAAAATAGACAAGAAACTATGATACAAAATATGGTAGCATAACTCTTCCATCTGACAATGAGTATCGGCAACACAATTCACCCGATTCTAGATGGTCGACATTGAACATTGATGATGATTATCATAATGAAGATGATAATATAGATGAACAAACTGATGGAAATGATAAAATTGATCAATTTAAATTAAATCGTTTTGGTAGTATGTTGGTAGCCCGAAAAAAAATGAATGAAAATTCTCTTTCTAAATTTATTTCACCATCAATTAATAGTAGTTCAAGTTGTCCAAGAGAAGAACAAGTTTCTGAAGAATTTATTATTAATGGAAAGCGTTACAGACAGGTTTATCAAAGGCGTATTGTCTTAGAAAGAAAAACAACAAGAGACGTAAGTTGTATTAGGGAAAATTGACTTTTGATTTTGACAGTATGGTTACTGTTATTACCTGTCGTTGGATACGGGGTTGTTTACGTTACTTTATTTAATTGCTTCGTATAATCTACGTTAATATAGTTTTATACATTAAAATTGTATCTCTCATTGATAGTAAATGGAAAGACAGTAATTACTAGACAGCTTGTATTGGTCTGTAATAGTCTCTTATACTGTTTAATGTTAAAAAGGAGAATTATTTTTTTAAACTAATACGTAGTTTCATAACTAATTCGTTAGTAATAAAAAAGGTTCACATCATGAGACCAATATATATTGACTCAGATAGGATTAAGTATTTATTTCATGATGTTTGTAATATATTTTTCATTAGTTTTATTAACTCCTCACTGATTAGATTCTGTTAGTGATAAATTTTTGTCTTACGAACATTCGTTAACCTCATGAACTTATGATTGATTTCAATTTATAAATGTTATCTTTTTGTTTAGGTGGAGTTTTATCCTCTGAGGTGGATGGTTTGGTCATGGAGTTGTCATTGTTCTTGTGAACAACATTATCAGAAAGCTCCACAACTAAGCCATACAGCTCACAGAATAAAGCTCTACATGAATCATCCACCTGAGCTACAAATTTTCTACACTATCTTTTTGTTTAAATTCGAATTTACCAATCCCGTATGTCTAGATTTACCTTTCAGATTATTTGGCTACAACAAATTTCTTTTTTTTTATTGAGAAATTGTTGTTACTGGAGAGTAGTATTTTCCGGATCTTAATCTCATAATACATTGAAATTACATTTACAAATGACGTCACCAATTAATAATATATGGCATAATGATACAGTTCATTTTGTTATTACATGCTTCAAGTCTACCACTACGATAATCTGACAAAGGGATCCCTTAGGAATTGGAATGTAGTAGAATAACTTTACTCACCACGAATAAGTCTATGCTGCACAATGACAGTAAACACCAGATTGTTAGCAAATAATGTGGCTTTTGAATTTTAGAAATAATATTTTGATAAAAAGAAATATTTTTGATCCATATGGAATTAGTTGTATAATGAAGTCAGATCTTATAAATACCTTTCTGTATGACAAATACTTTCATAAATAATGCTTTTTCGGTTGGATTGTAGCTGGCAGTGAAATCCAGGAAACTGATTTCGTTCCATATAGTAGTCATCAACTAAATGTATCTACCGATTGGTGCTTACATTCTTATTCTCAACAGAGCATAGTACATAGTGAACGAGAAAACAGGTGGGGAATATCATGTTTTTCTGGAAGCACAATCACACAATCATATAGTTAGTTGTGAAAATCAGACATCAAATATATCATTTACACATTAACTTTAATTGTCTCTTACAAGCTTCCTTGCTCCTTCGTTCGTGTTGTTATCTTGATTACTTTCAGTTTCCTTCACTCTCCTCTTCATTTCGATCCCACTTCCGACTGGTGTTACATACTACTTATATCTGCAAGCATAAGTAACATAAACCACATTATCTTTTGCTTGAGTCCAGACATCACCTACATTGTAAGACTGAAATAAATAAATTTTTGTAATGGATTAGCTCTTCCCGTTGATATTAAGGACTATATTTCATCAATAAATTTTTGGTGAATTCTCATCCTGAGCTGACTGTCTTTATATTACCATTAAAACAATATGACTTAATGACAATATAGAGGCATTCAGCTACGAATCCACATATACCAAAGAAGACTGATCGATTGTTATATTCAATATTAAGTGTAAAACTCAAACCATTATAAAACGTTACACATTATGGAAAATTAGCATTAATATGCACATGTGACAGATTTTAAAAATCAAAATTTCTCAATAGTTCATGTATAATTTAACCCTATAACCAAGAGATTTTACTCTATTTATTTCCGTAGGTGTTTTTTCTTCCTGGAAGTAATACTGATACAGAAATTCGACTACCAAGTAAAAATCAATATGAATACAGATCTCCGCACTATGACGAACAAGTATCAAGTATGGTTTCAAATGAACAGTCCACAGCTAAGTCAACTAGTTCACCTAATGGGCAAGTAATAAGTCGACCTGGTCTAGATCTCACAGTCTTACATACGAAAAATAACACAAAAAATGATGAACCTTGCCTCTCACCAGCAATTGTTGTAAGGTCTCTTAATGGTAGTATGATTAATTCTAAGCACACTGAAATTTCAAGTTGTTCACAATGTACAACTTCAACTGAAGTATCATCCAAATTAATTGATACTATTAATCCAATTGCCTTAACTCAACAAACAGATAATATGGAACATTTAAATGCAAATGTATCTGAAGTAAATAGATCTAGTTCCAGAGCACGAAAAATAGTCCGCAGTCTATCGAACTCACTTAAACGTTCTCTATCTACTGGCATTCAAAATACACGAAGTTTAGTTAAATCAATACCAGGAAGGTCCAAAGAAACGGAATCAGCTAATCAACTCAATAAATTACGTACATCGATCAATAATGATTTATTAGTAGACACTTCAAAACAAGACAAAGAGTTTAAAAACAATCACGAACTCATTGAGCCAAAATCGAAGCAAAGTAAATTTCTTCATGAAATAAATTTTGTTTACAAACATGAAGTTGTTTATTTTATTTAATATTTAGGCTCTGAAAAACAAAATTTGTTGTTTATGGTTACTGACCAAAGTGCTTAAATCTAAATTTCTTTTTAGACAAAACTTGCATCAGTCGTCGCATTAATTCCGATAAGTGGTAGGTATAAACATGGATCATACCAAAAAGTGATTGAAGTTAAGATTCGAAAAGGTATGAAATGAAATCGATAGAAAAATCGTTCACAACTATTATAATTACATGATAAAATATAATTTGTAATATGATGGCAATAATAAAAAACAAACTGACTATGAAAACACTTTACTTACTTACATACTTACGCCTGTTATTCTTTGTGAAGAAACATAGGCCGTTCACCAGCATTCTACATCCAACCCTGTCTTGGGCAATCCTTTCCAGCTCCTTCCAGTTGTTATTCATCCTTTTTATATCTGCTTCTATTTCCCGACGTAATGAGTTCTTTGGTCTTTCTTCTTTTCCGCTTCCCTTTACGTTTGCACCTGAACCTCCTTGTTCATCGACGATGCTTCCTAGGTATGTGAAGGATTCTACATCTTCCAGAGTTTCGCCATCAAGAGTGATTGGATTGCTGTTCTCCGCCTTGAATTTGAGGACCTTGGTTTTCCCTTTGTGTATGCTGAGGCCTACTGATGTAGAGACTGCTGCCACACTGGCTGTCTTTGTCTGCATCTGTTCGTGTGTATGCGACAGGAGGGCTAGGTCATCTGCGAAGTCCAAATCATTTAATTGGTCCTGAGCTGTCCATTGTATTCCGTGTTTTCCCTCAGATGTCGAGGTCTTCATAATCCAGTCGACCACCAGAAGAAAGAGGAAATGAGAGAGTATACAGCCCTATCTGACCCCGGTCCATAGTTGGAATGCATCTGTCAGCTGTCCTCCATGCACTACTTTGCACTGTAGTCCGTCGTATGAGTTGCGGATAATATTGACAATCTTCTCAGGAACTCCGTAGTGTCGAAGAAGTTTCCATAAAGTCCTCCTATCTACACTGTCGAATGCCTTTTCATAATCAATGAAGTTGATGTACAGTGTTGAATTCCACTCAACTGATTGTTCGACGATGATCCGTAGTGTTGCAATTTGGTCTGTGCACGACCGACCTTTACGGAATCCAGCTTGTTGATCTTGAAGTTGGGCGTCAACTGCACCTTTCATCCGGTACAGCAACACTCTGTTGAAGACCTTCCCTGGTATTGACAGTAGTGTAATTCCTCTGTAGTTTTCACATTTGCTCAGATCTTTCTTTGAAATCTTGATGAGGTGGCCTCGTGAGTTTCAAAGGAACTTGGCATTCATCAATAGGTGTCATAGTTCTTCTAAATGAAGACCTTCTAAATCCCAGGTCAGAGTTTAAATGGTTTGAATTATTTTTCCTGGTTAGCGTATTTTTAGCGAGCTAGTTCTGTACGGGATGGGGTCACTAACCCCATGCCCAACCCTCCTTTTTTAGCCGGGCTTGAGACCGGTAGTAACTCTAGAAGAGCTACAGGTGGAGTTAATTGTACAGCATACAGATTACCTTAAAAATAAATTTTAACAATATTTTAACTGATGCCTAAATTTATAAATCGTCCTATACAAGAACGAAACAACCATCTAGCGCTTCCAGGTTTTTCATGGTGGTCTAGTTTTAATTGACTCATGAATTCAGTTATTACATTCCACCTCCTTTTCTATTGGACATACATCAAAATGTTTAGCTTAATGATCACAATCATTTGGAATTATGTTTTGTGTATATGTACTAGTATAAGTAATCCTATATCACAGTAGGTAACGAATTTTAATTAAAATTTTGAACATTTCACAACATGAATAATATAAATTAATTTATGAATTAGATTTACATTAAATGAGATTAACAAGCAAATTTATTTTTGAACAAATATTTACTTGCACAAAATATATGAATTTACAAGTATGATATTCTGATGGCCTTGAGTTAACCAATCAGAATTAAGATAATCGTTTGTACATTTTGTGCAAAATTTTAAGTGTAATAATAGATAACTTGTATACTATTATTAATTACATGAAAATTGACAAGAATTAATTTTTAGTAGTAGGAATCAGTCAACCAGAACGTGAATTTAAGATAGTGCTCAAACTAAAATAAAAAAGCATGTGCTCACAAGGCAAATTGTTTGTTATAGTGCCTAATGTGATTCAATGAGTTATAAAGAATATTTAGTGATGCTAGATAATATTCTTCTTTGCTAACTCTTCCTCTAAATCTCGACCCTAAGTTTTTTTAAGTTGGCAAACAGAAGGATGGTAAAACATTGGATTATAACTGATATCAGTACGTGATGGAAACCTCAGTACTAATTCGTAAGTCCAATCCAAAACCGATGTCAATTAGTGACGAGAACTCAGTGATGTGATAACTCTAACTCAAAATACTATCCCGACTCCTGATATGTAAACTTGACCTTTTACCCTTACTAAAAATAATAATTTGGCATGTGAGTAGTAAACGTTAAGATTAAAGGAGTTTTTGCACTGTTATTTTATTACTATTTATTGATAATTCGTTTATAACTATGGAGTGTTTCCTCATTGGCTGATAAGTCTCCTACAAGGTCACAGTATATTATTCTTATGTCCAATTTTATATAAATTATAACAGCTTATTAATTATAGAAATAACAAATAATCGAGTTGCCAAATTAAGTAACTCCTAGTAAATGTCCGTTGATCATAAACAACATAAATAAATACACTTTTGGCATCTCATATGACATAAGAATATATGAAAGCTACCGATTAATGGTTAGTCTAACCTAAGCATAATATACTCACGTTATTAGTTTAATTTAGAACAAATTATTTTTTGTCAATATAAAACAAAGCATAAGTTCACTGAAGCAGTAACCGTGTAGTCGTAATGTATAAAGTTTAGAGTGTACAAATGGAACATATCCTTGTCGGGTAGAGACAGTTATCTACCTCAGTACAATGGAAGTTGGTCGCGCAATTTCGTGGATTGGTTGATGTTAGAAACTATCACCATTGGATGCCGGCTCAGTGGTCCAGTTGATTAAGCGTTCGCGCGCGAGACCGAAGGCCCTGGGTTCGAATCCCGCTCGCGGGATCGTGGATGCGCACTGCTGAGGAGTCCCACAATAGGACGAAACGGCCGTCTAGTGCTTCCAGGTTTTCAATTGTGATGCTCTAACATCAATCGGTTCATGATCTCGATCAGGAACATATCTAATTAGTTATCCTTAACTCAAGTAATATTGTAGTTTATAATTCAGTGATAGGTTAAATTAAACGTTAAGTACTAAACTAATTTCTCAGTAAATATAGAATGATCAATTTTCTTTACTTTATACTAATGTGTTTTAAATTTAGTAATGGGTTACATGTATAAATTTGGTGTTTGGGATGATCAACAGCCAGTTTTAGATCCACGTTTACCTGTATTTTTGAATTCGTCTATTGAGAATAATTCAAATTTAAATGGTACCGTTGTTCCTACTGCACCCGAATGGCATCATGAAGAAGTTGGTTTAGAAAATATAGAAAAATTTCAAGGAGCTTATGTCCGTGGTCGTACAGTTGCTTGTTTGCAAAGATTTACACAACATAGTTCAGCTAGTGGTAAAGCATTGCATAGGAGTACTTATGTACAACAAACAAGACTAGTTCGTCAGGTATGTATATTTTATGTAAGCTAAATATTCTAATTCTATTCGTTAAGTTTTATTAGTTTTTCCAGTGTAAGATTTAACTTCTTTACAGGAATATTTAGTACTTTATTTAATTTTTTATTTATTTCATGGAGTAACTTCATCTGGAGAACTTAAAATTATGAAATCCATAGACAGTTGTTTAGTCCCTTAATTCAAACCTAACAGATTTCTGATCTTAAACCTTCAGATCATACGGAGAGCAATTATCTTCTCTAAAACACAGATTGGAAATTTAGTAGTTCGTATTTCCAACTCCAACCACTTCATGTTATAGCTTGAAAATTATCTAGTGTTTACCTAGATGTCTGTTTCACCACCAAGATAAATGAATTTTGAATTGATGATAAGACCTGGTGGAACATCAAAAAGTGTTAATGAGAAACTAACTACACAAAGTCAATGCACACATATTTTGAGCTTTATCTCATTACAACATAAGAGAAAATTATTCAAATGCTTGGCCCAAAGAACCGAAATTATCTGTTCTAATCACACTCTTGAAGAAGAAATACGACGTACTCATAATCTACTTAGTAAACACGAATACTTATCATAATCCTAAATCAAACATGTATCTGGAACAAAAACTAGAATTAAAACTACTGACGATGCTGAACAAACCTTTGCTTCCAAAATTATATTTTAAAAGTGATGTAACTGAAAAAATATGGAGAGCAGTAGGACATAAATTTCATATGGTATGATTATCTCTCTCTTCAACCAGCCAACAGTAAATTCACAACTTAATGATGAATTGCCTGTTTTATTCTACTTCCAATAGTGCTTATCATTTTAACTAGATAAAGACATTATTGTGTTTCGGAACATCTGTAGTATCGGTTGCTATGTCAAGCCAACATAGCTACCGGACAGGCCAATTTATTCATTCTTCTTGAGTCATATTTCGACATCGGTAATTATTCGCATATCAACCTTGGTAGTTTTATATAAGCGTATTTGTGTGCATTGCTTATCCTACTGATTACATATATGTAATTTATTTTCATCTGACTCTAAATATCGATTAATGCTTGATTAAGTCGTGTTGGCGTACTCGCTTTCCCCATCGCGTGTCACTTCGTTTTGTTTCTCTTACCGATCAACGATTGGACGAAATACACGTATCCGAAATTCATTCTCATGTCTAACTTATTTAATTTCGTTATTCACTAATGCGATTTAATTCGATAATCTCATATGAGAATTAGCGATATGTATGTTTTCATAAAAATCGTTCATACGATCGAACTGGAGTCACATCTCGGACCATTAAACATTGCTCCACAAGGTTGACTAAAGATCAAAGAAACAATAAGATGCTCCATTTTTACTACAGAATATTCTCAATAAAGATGCATCCGTACTACGTCATATACAACTTATGATAATGATATGGTATAGCAACTCACGTGCAGCTGAGTTTGCTCTCATTTAACCCGGTTAAGCCCTTTTGTTAACTTATTTAGCGGACAAAGTCATCCTTACTATAACAACTTATTGTACATTTATCATTGTTGTGCTTGTATCAAATTGTATGCTTGAACATTGCTTACCGCCTATGCATATATTCATTCTCCTAGCTTTATTATTAGCTGCCTAATTGATTCGATGATCCATTTATTTCCCTATATATATGTACATTTAACATTCTACACTCGGTTCGCTGACTCACTCATTTGCCTCTCTGCTTTGTGGTCTGAGTTATGTGCTAATAAAACTGTAGTCGCTGCTTATCTTTGCCTTCTGATTTTCAACACTGTTGAGGATTATATGGTAACGGTTACGAGTGTGATTGGTTAACGAAGCACAGACACTACAGAACTCGTAACCTTGATGTGCGAACAGGAAACGACTTTCGACGATATAGTCAAATTTCGAAAATTCAACGCACTTCGTCTCAATTTGGATTATCACATAGACTATAATCATAACTGTGGATTTACTATATTACTATTTTAATTACACGTACATTATTTCACAAACATTATTGAACCTAACGATAAAAATCATAATAAGTAACGATTATTCACAAACAATTGATATATTGGTGCGATTTAGTAAGTCTGTTCTATGTTATAAATTGTACCATTTGTTATTATCATTGTTTTTGTCCGTCCATTTTTCTTTATGACAGTTACATTATATTCGTGTACTATTTAAATTTTCTATAAACATGTCTTTCGAAAACACTGTGTCAAGTTTACAGCGAGCTCCGTCCGCGAGGTCTCTTATTCTTCCTGTCCCCTCTTTTAAAGTCACCGACTCAAAGCTTTGGTTTATTAGACTTGAAAGTTATTTCCAGACTAACCGCATTAACTTACAAAGAGGTAGATTCGGCCTCACAAGCAAACTCCTTCCAGATGAAGTAGCAGAGAGCGTACGAGAGGCGTTAGTGAAACCAGACACTGAAAAGCCATACGACATGCTAAAGCAAGTAGCAATTAAAACTCTCTATCTAAGTGACCAACAAGCTGTCGAGCAGCATCCTAGTCAGGCCTAGCTAGGGGATAGAATTCCGTAACAGCTAAAAACGTATATGAACAGTCTGCTGGGCGACAGGCAAATAGACAATAACTTGTTTTATCAACTATGGCTTCGCCGACTTCCGTCAAATGTACAGCAGACCCTAGCATTCGGGGATACGGATGCCGATACAGACATAGCAAAAATAGCCGGTAGAATATACGAAACAACCAAGCAAACAAGCCCTCCGTTACACTGCGTGACGATAGATGATAGAACTAGTACTCTACAGAAAGAGGTAAATGTTTTGTGCCGCAAGCTCACAGAATTAACACAGAGCGGAAGGCCACGAAGATCATCACGAGATCGCTCGCGCGACTGAAATCGATCAGCTTCTAGACGGCTCACAGTTCCCTTGATATGCTGGTATCATCAGATGTACGGCTATAGAGCTAGGAAGTGTTTACAACCTTGTAGATTTAGCATAACAGGTAAGCGTTACCCACGATTGTCAATGGCGACGGCATCAACTAACATAATGCCTGCAAATGGTCGCCTGTTTTATATACAAGACCGAACCACTGGTGCGCAATTCTTAGTTGATACTGGAGCGAAAATCAGCGTAGTACCTCCAGTAAGCGAAGAAAGAAGAAATGTTAATGCATCACTAGTACTCGGAGCAGCGAACAAATCCGATATCAAAAAATACGGCAAACGACAGTTGTCTTTAGATTTCGGACGAGGCGCTTCGTACCGCTGGGACTTTGTCATAGAAGAGGTATCAGTGCCCATAATAGGCATCGATTTCCTATGTGACTTCGATCTACTAGTAGACTCGAGGCGTCACAGACTTATAAATGGTAGTCACACCACTCCGATAAGAGGAACACTTACAGAAGCCGTTTCCATGAATCTAATGATAGATAAAAGCCGCGGTGATCCATATAAATTAATGTCGAAGGAATTTCCCGAACTTGTGAAAGTAATGTTCAATAAGGCGGATCTCAAACACTCCATTCGGCACCACATCGTAACGAATGGGCCACCAATTAATGCAAGGCCAAGAAGGTTAGACCCCAAAAGACTAGCAATTGCATAACAAGAATTCGACAAGTTGATGAGGCTGGGCATTGTAACGCATCCCCATTACGTATGGCCCCGAAAAAGAATGGAGAAGTTAGGCCATGTGGAGACTACCGAGCACTCAACAAGCAAACAGTAGCTGATAGATATCCTGTACCGCATATCCACGATTTTACCTACAGTATAGAGGAAGCTACTGTCTTATCGAAGATCGACTTCATTAGAGCATAATATCACATTCCTGTTGCTCCACAAGACATACCAAAGATAGCGGTAACGACCCCATTTGGGCTATATGAATTTCTGCGCATGCCTTTCGGGCTGACAAACGCAGCGCAAACCTTTCAACGGTTTATCGACCAGGTCATCAGAGGTTTACCTGGAGTATACGCATATATCGATGATTTACTAGTAGCAAGCGCCACTATGGACGAGCATATACAACAGCTACGACAATGATTCATGCGACTGCGAGAACATGGCATTTCCATAAACATTGAGAAGTGTGAATTTGGAAGAGAATCTTTACAGTTCCTAGATCACATTGTAACTTCTCAGGGCATTACATCAGTAGCAACAGAAGTCGACGCCATCAGAAATTATCCGCTACCCGACTCATGGAAGAAGTTACGACGACTTCCCGGGTAAGTAAATTATTACAGACGATTTATTCCGCATTGTGCGGCAATACTGCAACCATTAACGGATGCGTTACGGGGACACGCACGGACATTCCACTTATCACCAGAGGCGATACAAGCATTCGAGCACGCCAAAAAAGCACTAAACAAAGAAACGACACTTACTAGACAATAGAGCGAAACACCATTAGCTATCGTGACGGATGCATCGTATGTGGCGGTAGGAGCCGTTTTACAACAATTACTATAGGGCACATGGGAACCGCTCTCATTTTTTTTCGAAAAGACTGAATCCGACACAAACAATATATAGTACTTTCGGAAGAGAACTGCTAGCAATTTACTTAAAAATAAAACATTTTCGTCATATGGTGGGAGGCATAAATTTTACCGTTTACACAGACCACAAACCACTTACGAAAGCATTAAGCGCAACGCACGACAATTATTCCCCGAAGGAGATCCGACAGTTGGAGTTCATTTCACAGTTCACCTCCGATGTACTATACATTAAAGGACAAGAAAACGACGTGGCTGACGCACTGTCAAGAGCAACGATAAACACACTTATTGCAAGTGGAATTGATTGTAACGATCCGGCAAAGTTTCAATAGAGAGACATTGAATGAAATAAGCTCAGATCCGATGGTACGACATCATTAGTGTTCGAAGAAGTGCGGCTCGGTAACACGAAAGTAATGTGAGATATATCGACAGGCCGACCGCAACCATTTATCCCGAAGTCACTGCGACACAAAATATTTGAGAGTATGCACAACATGTCGCATCCAGGAATAAAAGCCACGATAAAGCTGATCAGTGAACGATTCGTATGGACAAACATGAATCACGATGTGCGTAATTGGACGCAAGCATGCATGAAGTGTCAAGAAGTCAAAGTACATCGTCATACTAGCTCCGCAGTGGGTCCATTTTCACACTCAGATACTAGATTTGAACATAAACACATCGATATTGTAAGACCACTGCCTGTTTCGAATGGATACAAATATGTCTTTACATGCATCGACAGGTTTACACGATGGCCGGTAGCAGTACTGAAAAAAGACACCTCAGCCGAATCGGTAGCCAAAACCCTAGTTGAAATTGGATTTCTTACTACGGCTTATCAATGATTATCACAACTGATGGAGGAGCACAATTCGAAAGTTGACTCTCTGAACAGCTTACAGAACTCTTCGGTATTAAACGAATTCGTCTTACCATCCAATGTCAAACGGAATGGTCGAACGCCTACATAGGCAATTAAAAGTGTCCCTTAAATCCGTCATTGTTAACAACGATTGGACCAATAAGCTTCCGCTAGTAATGTTAGCTCTAAGAGCAACAATTAAACAGGACATGGGATGTTGCCCAGCCGAGTTGGTATACGGAAGTACTCTACGGTTACCCGGAGAAATCTTCAATTCCAGTAAATGTGTTCCGGCTGATGTAACCAACTATGTACAACGCCCGAGAAAACACATGTACGATTTAAACATAACACCTCCCAGACCACAGGGACTACATAACAGCACTCACGTATTCATTAGAAGAGATAGAATACAACTACCTATACAACCGAGTTACGGTGGCTCATTTGAAGTGATAGCGAGGACAGATAAAACGCCTACCATAGAAAAAGCTGGGAACTCAGATGTAATCAGCATCGATTGAGTGAAAGCAGTTTTCATCGGTAGTGATATTCAATCAACAATTACAAACTCCTCGAAGATGGTCACACCAACGAAACACGAGTCTCAAGAATCAACGACGCTAACGCAGCGAAAAAACGAAACGCCGGTAACAACAAGATCTGGCCGCAGAGTAAGATGGCCTCAACGCTATGTCGCTATAACTTTCTATTGATAATTTTCTGCTACTTTAAATATTATTCATAACTCTTCCACTTCGCTGTATACATATGGATTATTAAGCTCATGTTATACACTATAAAACTCAGCATATCTTATGAACCTTTACAGTTATATGTATAATTTTTTTAAGAAAAAAAACGATATCATATTCCTTCTGTTTCTGAGTTTTATTTTACATAACCTCACAGACAGGCACGAACCAAATGCACAGCACACACTAGCTTCATCCTAATTATGTATAATCCCATTTCTTCAAACGACTGTAACTACTCTATTCAGGTTACTATTCTTTGTGCAAACACAGACATTTTTACCATATATCTTTGTTTGCATGGTGGAGCTATTATAGCAACTGAAGTGCGATTGAGTTTGTTCTCATTTAACCCGGTTAAGCCCTTTTGTTAACTTATTTAGCGGACAAAGTCATCCTTACTATAACAACTTATTGTACATTTATCATTGTTGTGCTTGTATCAAATTGTATGCTTGAACATTGAACATTTAAATATGTAAGCAACCCACATATTAGTCTACTGTATTCATAACATCCCATTAGGTCAATATGTAATAATTCTGTCACTTGAAATCTCCAAGATTCTTCAAATGAAATTGTTTTACCATGGTATTCAATAGCAGTTGGATCATATTCAATTTTCTCTTATGGTCACTGGTGAGAAAGATTATGATAGTACATAGTAGTTAATAAATAATATTAACATTACCATTATTCGTCACTTTCATCAAAAATATTCTTCTTTCCTTTTTGTAATCAGCTTAATCGAAGCGGCGAAAAGAAGAAAGGAGATACTCTAAGTGGACTAGATGAAGATCTCCAAGGTAAAGGGTGTGAACAAGAGGAACATACCTTTAGCTCGACTCCAATACATCTTACTGATCCATTTTTATTTGATAGTGAACAGTTAACCAAGTAATTTACCGATTTTTTGACATTTTGAGCTGATATATAGTCTTATGTTACACGCTTAACGTTGTTGTCAAAGGTTGTTATGACTAAAAAAAACTTTTATTTTAGACTCTATCGATGAACCTAACTCTCTTGAATATACTCACATGACTTTTTACAACATTATCCTCTTAATTTAATCAAGTCATTATCTTTCGATAATTCAGCAAGCTGATTACAAGAACTACTATAACTTTTAATCTATTTTTAATGGTTTAGATTATCCCGTTGAAATTTGGTTAATCTTAGTTGAAAAATGTGAATCCTGTGCGAAATATAACTAACAGCAGGTGATCAACAATATGAATTCAGTAGTTAAGTGAACAAGGTATTATCATTTGAAGCGCAAAGTACTGGGTCCGAGCCCCTCAGTGAACACTAGTTATTGAGATAAAAAAAGAACATCAAGATGAAGAGTCTAAAACAGAACAAAACACTTGTTCTGTATTCCACCACCCTTTTTAATATACTGTGATTTTTGGTAATAAACGACAATAGGTTTACGGATTATTTAAATCAACTACAAACATATAATCTTCAATAAACATTAGGATTTCAAGAGATACTAACAATTGATTATTGATATAATCTCAAATTCAATTCTCATTGAAAAATAAACGAAATCAATTGTTTTAATAAAAAGGGACCAACCTAATTCAATCAAATACTTTTACGGTTTTATCAAGTGAAATTTCTAAAAAAAAACATAGTACATGCTCGATTGAATTGAAACAAACATTAACCACTAGAATTGATTGTTTCATGCTAAAAATAGAAACATATCTCATTTATCATTCATGAAGTATAATACTCAAAATTATTGATTTTGTTTCTATGGGTTTATTTTGTGAAATAATCACAGTTTTACATTGGTATATAAGAAATTCAATATTGATTACATTAACTGAATACTTTTGAATGATACAAATTAGTAAAATAAAACGGGGTTATTGTGACCTGTTTGTTGTTAAGGGGAGATTTCGATGATTTACTGGTGATTTATTCAATTTTGTTGTTAGTATTTCTTTTTAGAAACTAAAGGAAAAATTATGGTACAACATTTTCTCTTTTTCAATGCTCCAGAACTTTTTATACTCTCGATATTAGTATTGATATGTTGATTGAACCTCTCATTTCTGAGGTGACGAATATTACCTAACTTTCTTACCTTATCCGCTGGGAATAAATCTAGTTCACGATTATATAATTCATCATCTCTATGTGAGTGTTTACAAGATTACTGTCTACAGAAGCCCAGTGGTAACGTCTCTGACTGTAAAGCTGGGTGACATGGGATCTAATCTATCAGAGAGCACCAGTTCCCTCAAGATTCCAGGTACACCTAGCTGGACCCAGGGTTTCCTGTTGACTACCTCCAACCACCATCTTATGTTTACAAGAGCCTTTATTTTTTACATTATTCATATCGCGTTAGATTGAACTAAATTAATTATGAGTGAAAATAAAATTGAAAATGTCTATGTTAAAATTCGAAGCATTTTGATCATGTGTGTGTGTGTGCAAACGCAATATATACATATATCAGAAATAGCGGTTTTACCAATGTGTTTTAATTCAGTCATATTAAATTGCTGAGTGCTTTGTGACTATTTTACAGCATTCTGTGACCAGTTTATTTCTCTGGATAACCTATTTTTCAGCTTTTCAAATATTGCAGTTTGATTTCTTACCTAAGTTTTGTATTAACTGACTAGCTATACGTATCACCCGCTTTTTTTATTCCCATGACAATTTTTAAGGCTTACAATCTATCAGAATTTAGAGCGCTGAGAAACCTAAAAGTGTTTACTTCAAAAATGGAAGGTTTCTTTTACTCATTCTATTTTGTTCGAAAAACCCAAATATATTAGAATGTTTGTATGTAAAGAGAAATTCAGGTACACGTGGCTCTCTTAACCAGAATAGATCACCTAGTGATTACAACCTCTGTAGTAATACAATGGATCGAAATTAGTTTTGATTCAGATTAGTGAAAGATAATCGCTGTGGCAACAATTGCTTTCATATATCTTTCAACGTTTACAATGAAGGTGTGTATTGTTAAAAAGCACCGTTATATAACTTCAGATTTTGTGCTGAAATTTTTCAAATGGATTTATGACTCTTTACTACTTTGACATAAATTTACCAATTATAACACCATCTACGTATTGTTCGTTACCTCATTATGAATACTTGATCATTACCTCGTAATAATTTTAAACGTTATCACACAGTCATGGTGGAATATTGACCGAATTAACACAATTCTTTGCTTGTTCTATCATTTTCTAACGATCATAAAAATGATATTTACTCATTATATATGTATCATGAAATATTACCAGATATGAAATGAAACCAGACGATAATATTCAGTCAACATCTGCAAAGTTTATTCAGTGTTCAAATGATCGCCTACAATTGTTACAATCGATTTGTCCATCCGCGGCTGCTGCAACAATTCTTTTGGGTAAACCTATACGTGATCCACACGATAATGATGATGTTAAACAAAATATTTCGACTAAATCTAATGACCTTGATGACACTCGTGTTCTGGTAACAGCAAACTCATGGTGCCCAGCGTCATTGAGAACAAAAGATCCTGAACCGCAGTTAATATTCAATCCCATTTATAAGGATAATAATAGCAATACTCCTACAAAAACAAATACACCAAAACATTCACCGTCGGTAAGTGAAATGTATTTTTAAGCAAATGTGGTAGTTTATCCACGATCTTCATATTGGTGAACCACTTTCGAAACTAATTATGCACTCATCAGTAACTGTCATTTTTTCCAAGCCTTAGTATCGATTAAAGTCCTGAAAACCATAAAAAGTTATACAAAGTTGATGAAGGGTTTTGGGACATAATATTATTAATAATAAAAACTATGAAGATTTATTTATCACTAAGATCTAAAAAGTAAAATCATGGAAACTGCTAAATGATCAATTACTATAAGCACCTCAGTCAATCTTTTCTGTTGTAGTTTAATGGTAATGTTTCTAGTTATGACACTGAATGATAACGTTTCGAATAACATATAGAACATGTCACATCAAAATAATAGATGAGTTTAGATGATAAGTGTTGAGTAACCTATATGTGAAACTGCTTTTCTACCCAAAGCCGCAGTGTTTTGTACTAAGGATACTTTGATAATAAATAGTATTTCAACAATCCTAAAAGGATAACAGTTCTTCAAAAGTATGAAGTATGTATTTAAAAGAAATGTAGTTACTAAACAAAGTAATTAGTTTTCATAGTCTGTTTAAGTAGCGTAATTGCACCGTATTAATCCAATTCAATCTTATCAAATCATATATTCTATTCATTGTATTTGAAAAATGAATCACTTCATTGTAATATGCGATTAATCAAGAAATAGGATCAAAAGAAGTGAAATACAATTCGAAGTCACATAGGCTTTTAACATGAAGAGCAGATAAACTAGACAGCCTTCTTTATTTGGTATATTTATCATCATCAGAGAAATTGGTTTGTTCATATATTCTTGTTCTAGTAAGCTTGTATGAACAAAACAGTATCACAGTTTTCACAATTACTGTCCAATTAAGTAAAAATAAGATATACTAAATACGCAGTAAATAGAATCGGCCACGTCAATTGAAATATATTTGAGATAAAAGCTTAAATTGATCGATTAAACCTCTTATAGATCTATGTGTTTATCAAACTTGAAATAACGAAATCCACGCATCACCAAAAATTCGAACAGAATGAAGACACATAGATCGTTTTCTATTATGTTTATCAATTTATCTGTGTATGTGAAAACCCATACAGGAAGAAACATTTCACATGAATCATTAATTTTAGTTGAACATGTACTTAAAATATTTAAGTTTCAATAATCCATGAAAACCCGATGTTCATTCGTCTATCGTTAAATAGAAATTAATAGGTTAAGGAAAGTGTATAAAATATTATACAATTTACGCCTAACACTATCGGCAACTAGGTGTTTCAATCACAACTTGATAGACCCAACGCAATTTCTACTAACTTTCAAGCTTTAAAATAATGTACTTAATTTCAATAGTTTTCTAATACCACTGAGTGTAAAGTGGTTTAATTCCCGTCAACAGAACACTAAACTCATAATGAATAACATATTTTCACTATTTTCATAATATTTTTAGTCTGTGAGCGTACCAGAACCTACGATACGCGGTGGAACACTTGATGGATTGCTTATATATGCATTGAATTTATTACAAATGCCTATACCAAGTATGTTTTACGTTCTCACATCTGAATTATTTATTGTTTCAACAAATAATGATTTAGAAACCTTATTTATTCTATCTGTTGAAATAAATTATATGAAGGAATAGGTGATTATTACGTTAGCCTAAAGTTTACATCAGAAATGAATCTTCTACTAAACTTTATTGCATTTAGTACCAAATGATATGTAAACATTGATAGTTTGTAAACGAAATAATAAACATCGACTATAAGTACCGATAAGTACTTAGTGGCCATTTAAATGTTAAAGCTATAAACTGTTTATTACAGCTAAATACGTGTCAGACATTTAAGGCTTCATTTCAGTTAATGACTTCAAACATCTTTCTAATATCCATGATACTAATGCAAGAACATACTAATACGGTTAAATAGTATGTATCACATTCAGTTTCATATTCTTCAAAACTGTAGATTTAATGCATCCTAATGTTTGTTGTAATTCCTTTAGTTCTTTCATCTTCACAACAAGATTAGGTATCAACTTAACATAGGCTTGCCTAATTGTAGCGTATTTTATCTTATTAATTAACCATCGTGCATAATATCTACAAACAATATAAATTCGGATCAATACATTTCACTTACTAAATAAATTATTTACTTATGTCTGTTACTCCCAATGGAGCATAGGCCACTGACCAGCATTCTCCAACCCACTCTGTCTTGGACCTACCTTTCTAGTTCTATCCAATTGTTGTCTGTTTCAATACACTTTAGTTTTACAAAATTTGTCTTCATATAATCTATGCTTATTTAACAGAATACATATGCTTAAACTGTAAAAAAGGAAAACCAAAAAACACAGATTTGACAAGACTTTTACTAAAACTTAATTGTGAAAATTATTATTCAAAACAAAAAAATAATCGTAAGACAGCATAAATTAATTCAATGTCAAACAAGGAGGCCAATTTATATCATTAATCAAAAAAAGATCTAAACAGTACTGTTCCTAATGGTCTTTCATGTGGCTAGTTTTTTTGTTTGTTTTGTTTTGAAAACACCTGAATGATTTCATTATCAAAGACAACGATACGTTATTCAACACCATGCATTATATTATGTTTAGATGATGTATGATTTACTGAGTTTCACATTCAATTTTTTTTTAAATATCGAATACTTACACAAACTAATTTACATGTCGGGATCTTTCAAACGAATGGTAATTAAGTATGTAAACGATTTGGTGATATAAAACTGTTCTACATTGTGTTTTATGCTCATATTTTTATCGAATTAATATTGAATTTGAAACTTACGAATACTTGGATTTTTTCATTCAGATTTTGGTGAGACTATAATTTATGGATGACCTTTGAACGACGCCAAAGTGACCATGTGAGTGTCCACCTAATAACTAGGACTAAATGAGGATTATAAACCAGTGTGTAGAATAAGAATAATGATTTACAGTTGATGATTAAGGTTAGAAATTAGATTTACGGTTTTCATCACGAATTGACATCAGCTATGATGTCAAAACGCTACTTGGCCAAATTGGTAAATGAATTTCGCGCCAAAACTCAAGACGCGTTATCTTATATCTGATTGGTTCGTCCATAAATTATAGTCTCGCTGTAAAAATAATTTTGTTTACTGTTATTTGCGTGGAAAATTTTAATGGAGTATTATCAATTTATATCTAAAAATAGTTCTCATAACTTATTACCAAAATCTTCAATGATAAAGATTTGATCCATAGATTGCCGATTAATGCAAAGTAAATTGTGGTAATTGGAAAGCTGACTGCTCAGTAATATATTTCCATGATTTGTTCTAATGGATAGCGCTTCCAAGTTTACAGACGTGCAAAATAAAAAAATAATGTGATTCTATTCCAATTTCAAAATCACGAATGATACAGTTAATTCAAATCGAAATAAAATAATGACCTCTAACATACGAAAATATACTCGTAATAGAAAGGTCAAAGGTTAGAAAGGAATTGGTTTATTCATTTTGGTGACTTTGTAGTGGATTTGCTCCGTTAATTAATTACCTTCGTAACCTTTATTATATAAATCTCAATGGTGTTTGAAATAAGAAGGCAACAAGAAGTAGCATCTCGAGTTTATTAGCGGATAACACAGACACCAAATTTATAAGTATATCGAGCGAATTTGAAGCAGAGAGGCGGATGTGTGTGTATGCGAACAGTTACAGAGGCAAATTTTAAGTCAAATGGAATAAGGCGCAACGAGACAAGGCAAAGGCTAATAATAGGATTTAAGTACATACGTACCATGGGAAAGAGAATGATTCATCAAGCGATATTTAGGCTAGAGAGGTATGTGAATAGACTGTCATGTGATCAAGCATACACGTTTACACAGACAAAATGGTGATCATTATTATAGTACAAAGAAATATGAGAATTGATCGTCGCTGCATCTCATACACAAAACGCTGTGGTTCATGGTAGTTTACTGTAATACTGACTGTTTCATGAGAGAAAATCAGTTTTTCACCGTAATAATAGAAGAACAGAGTAACCAAAGGGATTTTCAATATGAATGATACTAGAAAAAAGAATATGTCTTCGTTATCATTTAGAGTTGTTAAAATCCAAGCTCGCATGCATGATTCCGTTTGTCATATACTCAGAAAATCATCATGTCAAACAGATTTTCCTGAGTTTCTCTTTCATATGATTCTTCAGACTTCGTCATCGGTTAAAATCATACCGGAGATGTAACTCTGTTTGATAAAGACACTAAACGCAGAGTATTATGAACGCTTTCATCGATCTATTTGCAAAATGCTGTTTCAGGAGTGATCTAAGCACAAATTATGGGGTATTTAGATACATAGATCCTTCAGTTTATCATGAAATGTAGAGCAAATCAATAGATATCATATTTTGTACTATTGCTACATCAACACGAAACATTAATCTGGTTTTCGCTAAATAACTAGATGATTAAGTTATGACTCTCATGTGCGAAAAATTTACCTGTTTCAAACAACGTAATATCACAAACTAAAAAATTATTATCTGCATAACTAACAAATCTGTTTCCAAGATCCTCTGATAATGACCACAAAAATTAGCAAACGTCTGAGTACAGAACCTCTACAGATGGGCCCAGGTACAGTAGAAATCGATCTTTATCTAATGATTGTACCGAATCATCGCAATATGTTGTTTAAACGAATAGCTTTTAACGTGATTACACTTTAATTTTTACTACTTTTTCTCCTATCAGTAACCAAGTGAGCAAAATAAAATAAACAATATAGGTCTTAAGGAAGTACCAATAACGGTTATTTAAATCAACATAAATATTTTGTTTGCACAGTTGAAGGAGAACATCAATAAATAAAATTGAAAATAATAGAACCTAGTTTTTCCGCAAAAAGTCAAAATGTCACTTAAAACTACAGTTTAATATTCATTGTCGTTTTCCATTTTCAAGTGTTTTCATTTCGTCGAGTGACGAAGACCAGGAATGTTATGTTCAGATAACAAAAAGACTTATTGACAGGATAAAATCAAACAACTACATATGGAGTTAAGGACTTGCCTTTAGGCCAAAAAATCTGTATACTAATCTTCTAAAAAGGATTTTTCATGATTTGTAGTTTTCCACTAATGCATCGTTTTTCAATTTATGATCTAATCAAGTTGGGTCCATTAAATTATTTAAATAATCAAATATCGACAAAAAAAATTGGTTGGCAACACACTAGCGACTAATGTCATCCTTTTCTGGTCCATTGGTGCTGATCAAACTTTGTGCATCAAGTCTCAATGTGTCTTCTAACCTACATGACTCAACACACTATTTTTAGATTTTAGATGGCTTTAACTAGTCAGGAGAAAACTCCAGACCTAGGTTTCGTGCTAGTTAGTACTCGCTAGCAACTGTCATATGTGAATTTGAGGGAACTAAAGCTTCATGTGGGATTCGAACCCTAAATCTCCAGGTACGACTTACCGATGAGTTTCGGCTTGTACTAAGTCTAGTTCAAGGTTTCCTCGTGGCATCAGGAATAAAAGCCGGCGGACATCTTCAATAACAGATAAATGTAATGCTTATTATTTAGACCGTTTTCCCTAGGTATGCTACCTAAAAAATAGTTTATTCATAATACTCTTAAAAAAACATACTTATTAGATTAAAACATACATATTATAAAATTAAGAAACGGTTCAGATTTCAGCTGTGAATACCACATATACAATTATCATGATCCTCATCATACACATGAACAGATTTTATTAATTATTTACCGTCAATAACTATCCACTAAATTCATATACTATCTTTTAAAGCCAGAACTACTAGTAAATCCTTCAGCTATTGTATGTTCATTCTTTAATAACGGTTAATTTCCATAATGCAATGAAAAGATAAAGATTATCAGAATTGTATTAAGGAAACTTGTCAAAAGGATTGATTGTTTTAAATAAGAGTTAAATTAAAAAGCCATATGTAATGTCATTCAGTAATATAGACTTCCTAGTACTTTATATTCTTAGTCAATTTAATTTATTAAACTAATATAATTAAATTGTTTAAAACGTAATATTAACTTTCATGTATTTAAATATTATTCATAATTATGATTTACTTTTAGCTAGTCATCCAGATTATTTATTTCCTGATGTGATTCGTTTAACGTATCCAACATTTACAAGTCCTGATAAAATAATTGAACGTTTAATCCAAATCTATGTTGCATATGCTCCTGTAGAACCGGGTTGTCAAAGTAGTGATTGGATTGACGCTTTAGCTGCTGCAGATTATTTAGTTAGTATTGTAAGTTTATTTTGATTTATTTTAATAAATACATTATATATATATATATAGTATTCGGTGTTTGAATGTAAACGTTTTGTTAGCCTATCTCAAGAATTGTCAATAATTAACTTCGATAACATTGTAGTGGCTGATACCAACAACATTACAGAATATCTTGGTGAAATCTAAGAACCATATCAAAATACTTGATTTGCAAAATATTCAGACTATGTTGTACTTTCGTTTCCATACCAATCACTCCCTATTTTCGTTTTCTTCTCTTTTTACTTTCTCAATCTTCTGCTCCCAATCATCCCACTTTCGATTGGTGATACATAATACTTATATCTGTCGACATCAGTAGCACACACCACACTATATCAAGCCCACATAAGTTATTCTAGCTTCCACATAGTCCAGTTTTTTCTTCTTGAGTCACATTTTGAGCTTGTCAATTATTTACTTATTAACCTTGACTGTTTTTGTATAAGCGTATGTGTTAATCTTTTACCCTACTCACAACATCTGTAACCTATTCTTCTCCGACTATAAATGTCAAGTCACGCCTGGTTAAATCGAGTTGACTCACTCGCCTTCAATGTGTGAAATTTTCTTTCTCTTCGCTCTCTCCTCTCCGCTTCATTTGCCTCGTTTTCCTGATTATCTGTTCAGAGTAATAAATGCACTTAATATCCGTATTCAAAATTTCATTCTCGTATTTGACTTATTCCGTTATTCACTAATGTAATTACAGTCGATGACTATATAAGAGGGTAGCCATGATGTATATTTCAACAAAAATGATTCATACGATCCAATTGAAATCAGATACAAGGTCCACTAAAAAGTGATGAACCCGTCGATAACATCATCGTGCGATCTAATTAGCATCAAAATGAAGGGCCACACTAATACATAAAATAAGTCAGATTATTAAGATTCCTGGAGCATTGCTTTTTCAAGTTCAAAAATTTTCCAAGTTTTTTTTTTCGTTTTAGATTTATTTTAACTGATTAATTGCACTTGTAAACCACTTGATAAACTGTAGAGCTTTTATAAATATAATTAGTGTTCAATTCAAACGGAGAGATCATAGTTGTTTTACATATTTTCTTCTTCATGAACTTTTTCGAGAAATGTAATAAAATTCCATTGGTGTTCGTACATTAAGTATGTTATGATATCAAAAAAAAATTGTGAAAAAGAACCAAGATCAGTTTTATAGACCTAGCTGACGAAGATAGAAACTAACTACTTCAGAAAAAAACAATGTTTTTCACATTCAATTTAGATACTAACCTGATAAATAAATATTAGTGGAGAATTAATTGAAACATAATGTGTGTTTTAACTGTGAATTCATCCCTACTACAAAACATATGGTATTAAATAAAATGTTTAACAATCAATAAATTGATCTAGGCAAACTAAACATGATGTGAACATTTAATGATATTTTGATTGAGAGGTTTCTAGATGATAAGTTTAGTTTGTAAGTGGTTTTCTTCTATTAGATAGCCTTTTCAATACACTAGACAAATATTTATGTGTTAACTGATAAACTCTTCAAGGATAGAGTACAAGACTTTTAAATGTTAAGACATGCACCTGAAACTATATATCATGGAATTGGAATTTATAGATAAACTATTTTTTAACACACTATGAAATCAGAGAGTCTTATTTGTGATCCCTGAATAAGTCATTGAAACGTGCTGCTAAGTCCAATGAAAGGAAAATACAGTTATCCGATGATTCCTGATTTTTAATAAATTTTATCAATCATATGTATATGTTGAGCAGCTTTTATATTTCATATCATGATGAAGAGACGTTGGATAGACCACATCTTTCAACTGATCTTTGAAGTTCAGAGATGACGTTGTTTTATTATCTGAACAACAGTGTAGCTTCGAATTATAAGTCAGTTAGTAATATTTAAGTAATGATAGTTTTTCTAAATAAGTTCGCTCAGTTGAGCAGTTAGAATATAACTACCACTGAATAAAGAAATTTTGGGACATTAATTGTTTTCAGTTACCTTATGTTTAGTTTCATCGATTAGGAATCTGTGATTTTGGACCGTCTACGGTGATTTTTAATAACGAACGATTAGGAGATACTCCTAGTTTTTAGTGTTAGTTAAACTGAGACCCGTTTGTAATTTGAACTACCAAGATTAAATGTATGTCTAAGGAGGGGGAAAGGTAGGACCTAACATATTAGGGCGTTAATAGAAAGTTTTTCCAATCTTTGGTTGACTTGACCTAGTTGACCTGGAATATAATGAAGATATTGTTAGACTCGTTGAAGAAAACTATTGGGAAAGGATGTTCTTTCAAACATCCCAAATTAGTCTCCCTATGTTTAGCGTGATTCAAACTGAACGTTTAGTTCACTTCATCAACCTGAACCAAAAACTTGAAACAACAATTTCACTAAATAATATGAACTCATTTTATTTTATGAAATTTTTATAATTGGTACATGATTTGCATTACTCAATTACTTACTTACGCCTGTTATCCCTCATGAATATATTGTGAACTTACATACGAGCCATGTTAAATTTTGAATGATCTAGTATACTGGAAATCACATTCTTATTCATACAAAAATGATGATATATATTATCAGAATACTTCAATGGTTACAACCATTCTAAGTTCGTATTCTGATATAAATATTTTAAATGTTTAGATGATTTCTCAAAAGTGATGTTGAATTTCAAGACATATGCAAATATTAAAAGTAGGATATAACCACATTAAAATGTTATTGGATTTCTGTTAACATATTTTTCCCTTGATTATTTATTGTAGGCTAAAGATATTCATTCAAAACAATTGACTGCTTCATTAATTCTCAAGCTTAATCGATTTGCACGTCTTCTTATGTATGATAATCAACTAATTACAAATGAACAAATACATAACGATAATCAAATTTCAGATGAACCACATCGTGTTCTTGCTGATCGATTACTAGAAAAACTGCCAATTCTATCATCAAAACAGAAATTGACAAATTATTCAAACAAATTAAACAATATAAATAATGACAGTGTTGATTACATTTCGACGATAAGAAATCCAACCTTAAATAAAACTGAGTCAAATAATTTATGGTCAAAACAGCCGTTAGTTATCAATAATTCATTAACTGGACAAAATAATACAAATTTAGATGGAATAAACGATCATAATTCTGTACACTATTCAGCTTTGATAAATACAGATAGTAAAATGTGCATTTGTGAACCTCAAGAAGATGCCATAGTAAGGTATGTTATATATATGAATGATTTCCTTGTAATGAACAAAATTAGACCATGAGAGCAATAAAAATTTACCGCCATTATTCAGTTGAAAAAGAACGAACAATATAAGTGACATTGAGTCTATGCATTCTGATCTCCATCCAGCTGTGTGATGACATCTCGGACAGTTTGACTTGAAAGGTACTTAGTGAAGAGTAGATTACACCTGTATCGTCCATTAAATTGTGAAATTTGATTTTCTATATTCACTAACTCTTGTTCCAAATGAACATTTTAGCTCACGTCATCGGGTCATTTTGTACTGATTTGTTTATAATGCTTACTAAAACGTCAAGAAGGCTGAATATCAATGACTTAAGTTAATCTAACGATCTAATGTGGAGCACAATCGCTGAATAAACAAATTAATGTCACATTCACAGTCAAGATGATCTCGAGGTTCAGTCTCTGAAATATAGAATATATTAACGACTAAATTTTCTATCTAGTTCTTACAATTTACATTAACTCACAAAAAATGAAATTGGCAACATTTAGAATATTTACATCGTACACATTTCATTAAGAGATAACCCTTTCTAGCCATTGATTTGGATGAGTCAGGACTATCGATACAGAAAAAATAGGTTAAACAAAAGATAACTTAAGATTGCAAAAGGAATGAAAGTAAGGCAATACAGAGACATTAGTTGGTTTAAAATAAACTTTGATTCACGATAGCCCTTCACTTGAGTTTAGCATGATTTACTGAAGCTCTATTAAAGTAAATAGCTTTTCATATTCAGATGAACATTTAGGTATGTTGTGATGAACGTATTGTTATATGCTTTTTTTTAACACAAAGTAATGTATTCGGGTTTAAAATGAATTTAAACACTCATTATTTCATTTGATGCCAAATAATGCAAAACTGGAATATTTAGAATCTTTGAGAACCTTTCTCAGGAAAGTTCTACAAAGTTAACAAAACGATGTATTATTCTTTTGCAAAACATTCTTCGTGTGCACAGTATATATAACATACAATTGATTCGAAATCAGATCACATATGTCAGTTTCGTTATTGACTTGAACTTCAAATGCATTAGGTATACTAGTTTTTACAAAACTTATTGTGGTATATGCTACTTATTGTCTGTCGACATAAGTAGTATGTAACACCAAAAGGAGATTGAGAAGATCGAGTTGCAGAGAACGGGAATGTTAACAGAGACTAATCATAATATCAATGAAGGGACAACAGAGTTTGAGACAATCGATTGAATATTTGCAAATAAAGTATTTGATGTATAGTTTTTCACTTTAGTTATCCCCACCAAGCCATGTCCACTACAGTATCATTTCTTTGGTAAGTTCAGATAAGAATTAATTATCAGTTCCATATGTACTTAATTGTTTTTTCCATCAGATATGTCAATATTATCATGTAAACAACATATTGGATTTAAATTATTAATTGCTCTTGCATTGAAGAGTAATTTTTAACAAAATGACTGTAATACGAAGTAATGATATTCTGTTCTATTTTTTTCATTATATCAACTAATGTTTAAATTTGTTATGCCTCTGATGAAGCAACACAGTGTCAAGAAGTATTCTATAGTCACTCCAAAAGTTTCTTTTAAGTATCTTTGAATTTAAATGGTTAATATCATGAGTCAGTTGAAGCTAGACCACCATGGAAAACCTGGAAGCACTGGACGGCCGTCTCGTCCTATCGTAAGACTCCTCAGCAGTGCTCACCCACGACCTCGCAGACTACGACATTCGAACCCAGTACCTACTGGTTTCGCGCGCGAGCACTTAACCACTAGACCACTGAGCCGGCTGGTGTCCAACTGTGTTAATGTCTAACTTCCAGGTTTTCTATGGTGGTCTAGCTTCAACTGACTCATGATCTTAGCCATTGAAATTACTATAATATCCACAAAACCCATCTGATATTTTTTAATTGTTTTGCATTTTTTAAATATTTTTATGCAATATTCTTGTAGAGCTCACGAATTCCTTGAATGTGATGCACGATTAATTGCAGAAGAAATAACTCAAATTGAAGAAGAAAAATTCGCTCAAATTGATGTGAGTAGTGTATTTAAGAGATAGAATCTTCATGATATCTTGAAGTAATGAAATATTTCAAGACTAAGCTTAATTTCACACACACACACAAAATGATTCATTTATGTCTTTCATAATTAGTAAACCAAATTATAAATAATAAGATTTTTAATGTTTATTTTATAAATATAATCATATCATTCAATTCATAAGATCGTATTATTCATTGTAGCCGGTACCATTTATTTGATTAAACTTAATCTGCTGAAAAGTGTACATATTAATCTTATATACATTGCTGAAGAGTTAATTATACGCAATCAGAAGCTAGATCGGTGTATTTAGGAATGAATTACGAATATAATTATGAATATAGAATTCATGGATGGACATGTAGTAATGTAGTGAACAAGAACACCAGTAGGGACAATCGAATGTATTTGAGCACAGAATTACAGAGCATCTCAATAAAATTTGAGAACCATATGTGTTATATCCTAGTGAAGATTACATTACGAGTAACGTCTGAGACCTATTAATGGACTAATATTGTTTATATATTCTCATGGTATACATATTCAGTAACTAGATTATGTATATCTATATTCCCCTTGTTATAAGCTTTATTTTGCCCGACCGAAGCTGCTACCTTGACTCGGTGGTTGGGCTTGCCTATCGTGATGACCCAACCGAGCTATATTGGCTGGAACATATGTTCCTGTAAGTTCTACCACGCCAGTAAGACTAAAAGCAGCAACTCAAGGTCTGAGGGCGAAGTCGTATTGCTGACTGTAGAGAGGTGTGACAGCAGTAAGGTGTTTCCCTCAGACAACCAGCATCTGCAGCTATGCTGCCTTCCCACAAGAAGGGGTGGGGTTAAGAAAGGTCGACCCTAAAAATGTCACAGCTTACCTTACCTCACGGATTTCTGTCTCCGGCAGTAAGGCCCTTTGAAGAACGGAGCTAAAACATTAAAAACCTTCCACGAAAAGGCTGTGCGCGACCGGCCTCAAGCACCACTCTTATCTCCCCGACTAACCCATCTCACATCCTTTTCTCACCTCGCACCGCTAGGGCAAACGATTGGAGCACGCGGAACGCTATTCCTGGTCTCCTGAAACCACGCTCTAAACTACACGTAGGAGCTATTAACGTACGAACACTGTGCCAAACAGGACAGCAGGCTTTCTTAGCTCGGACTTTAGAATCTCGTGCCATCGATGTGTGCTGCGTCTCCGAAACGCGCTTACAGAATCCGAGTAGCGTCACTCATTTGACCTCACCATGCCAAAATAAAGAAACGACTCGATTTACGCTTCGTGTATCTGGAAGCCCTGATTCTGCTTCCCGTGGCCTCACCGGCGTAGGTATAGCATTGAGTCCTAGGGCAGAACTAGCTCTCTTAGAGTGGATCCCAGTAGACAGTCGTTTGTGCGCTGTCCGACTAAACGGAACAATAAGGACTCGAGAAGATAGGGACACTCGTCGTTGCCTCTTCGTCGTCTCTGCCTATTCTCCCACTGACTGCAGCTCAGATGATGTAAAAGATGAGTTTTACAGAAAGCTTCCTGACCTCCTCAAAATGTTAGGCGCTCTGATGTAGTAATAGTGGCTGGTGACTTTAATGCCCAAGTAGGTAAACTAAGCGATAGGGAAAGATACCTGGGTGAATCTTATGGTGTCCTGTCTCAAAGAACAGATAATGGCGACCGTCTGTTGCAGCTATGCTCAAATAACTGCCTGCTTCTTGCAAATACTAACTTTAAGCATAAACAAAAACATCTTTTGACATGGAGACCCCCTAATTCGTCTCAACGTTAAACTCAAATAGATCACATCGCTATCAGCCACCGATGGAGGGGCTCGATAGAAGGCTGTCGCTCATTCTGGAGCACATGCTTAGATTCAAATTACGCTCTAGTACAAGCGCGTATCTGTCTGCGTCTTACTGGACGTCGGAAAGACGCTGCAAGTAACCCTCTTAGGGCCTACTTAATGAAAGTCAAGCTAAGAGTATATTTCAGGAACAACTAGGAAAACAGTTAGGCAGCCATGTATGTGATGCCCACCCCGAGGCAGCATGGGATGATATCCGAAAAGCTGTGGAAACAGCAGTGATATCTGCTAGTACGGTAACCCGTAATGTTAAGGAGAAACACTGGGTCTCAGCAGCATCTATCGCACTGATAGATGCTCGGAAACTCATTCCACCTGGCTCTGAACATAATAAAGAGCGGAGTGATCTTAAGCGCAAGCTGACAAGAAGTCTACGCAATGATCGTGAACAGTGGTGGGTAGCGAAAGCAAGAGAGATGGAAAAGGCAGCGGCAATAGGTAATAGCAGACAATTGTTCAGACTTGTTAAGGAAACCGGTATTAGGAAACCGACTGTTAGCGAAACACTCAGAGAAAGGTGGACATATTATACATTCTCAATCCAGGAGATTGGATCGATGGGCAGAGCACTCTAGGGATCAGTTCAAATGGCCTTCAGCCACATTTCGGTTTTCCACGATCTCCAGTCAACCTGAATGGCAAGTTAATGTAGGTCCTCCGTCTCTTTACGAAGTTGAAAAAGCCATATGAAATCTAACCAAAGCTCTTGAAGAACAGACTAGAGGAAATCAGGCTGGTTTTCGACCTGGACGTGGTTGTATAGATCAGATATTCACACTACGTCAGGTTCTAGAACATTGACACACGTTCACACGCCCCACAATGGTAGTATTTCTCCACCTTAAGGCGACATTCGACTCTGTTGATCATAAGGTTCTATGGCAGTATTTGTCACTGAAAGGCGTACCAAAGAAGTACATTAACCTTATAAAGGATCTCGACTCGAACACAACTGGCCGAGTGAGAGCTCATGGCGAACTGTTATCAGAATTGATTACCTCAAGTGGTGTTCGTCAGGGCTGTCCACTCTCTCCATTCTTGTTCAACTTTGTCGTCGACGTACTTTTAGAGATAACACTTTCCTAGTCTAGATCTCCAGGGTTTGGACTTCTACCACTGCATCTCTGTGCAAATATGGTATGGCAACTCGAACTGATGCGCCTACGTACGAAGTTCTACGTTGTTACTGACTGACTAACTGACTGAAGCTTTATTTTGACCTATATGTTAGTACTGTACGATTTACTATTCCTAAGCTATGTTCAGTTTATTGACTAATGCCTCCCACGTTCACAGTCACTTTTAGCTAATATTTTGTACTAGTGTTATTTCCTATTTTATGCTGCGTCGCGGTCTATTTGGTATATAAACCCAGTATGTCTGAAATAAATGATTCGCATAGTGGAGGCTGTTGTTGGCATTCTGAACTCAGCTGGACGGGCTAGACGAGCAACGGACCAATAGTGAGGTAGGCTGATCAGACCGAACGAACATCATTGATTTAGTGCAGTACAAAGGCGAATAAGTCATATTAATATTGGCGGTGATAACTAGTGGACCATAAAGCCACAACAAAATATCAATCCATCATCCCAAACTTGACTGTTGCTGTTGCAAACATCAATCCATTGTCTCAGATTTCATTGTTCATGTGTTTTCATACCTATTGCGTTCCGTTCCCGTTCTTTCCTCATCGACCTTCTACTGAAATACATTCTATGCCTGACCACAATTATATACTACTTATGTGGATATAAGTAACCCACACCACAGCATTACTGTTTTGTAACATGATGCGAACAATCTGATACTGAAACGAAATAAACACCTAGTTACCAGACTAGCTTAATATCTCATTCATTAGTGAACTTAATGTTGGTCAAAAAGTTTTAACTTCAAATTACTCAGTATTCACGTATTGTTTTCTGTTATTGATTTACATACATAATGCGATAAATATTTGAGTTATTTCGAAATTTTTATCAACTTGTTTAGTTCAATGTTAACATGGTTACTGAAAACTGAATTTGTACATTCTTTTTAAACATTTCAGTTTCATGAACTACTAGATATTCAACATTTAGAAAAAGGTGAAGCTCAAACTTTAGGTAAATGTGTTGAACATTTCAATCAAATGACACGATGGGCTAAAGGAATGCTACTTATCATAGCGCCAAAAATAGTTGAAAAGTATTCTTTAGTAAATTTACCAAATCATCAAATAAAAAGCGCAAGTGGTAAATCATTGTTTGATAATTTACGTAGTCGTCATACATGTTCTTCTCTTATTGTTCCAAATATTAAAAATAAAAACAAATTAAACAATAAAGAATATGATTCACAATCTGATGTAGAATTAACAAACAATGTCAAATCCACAAATGAAGATTTTATAAAATCAAATTCATTAATACACCATAAAAGTATTTTAACAAAGAAAATTGTTGCTGTCAATATTATGTTACAGAAACTATGCGAAATCTTAAAGGTTAGATATAGTTTTAATTGTAGACACTTGGCAACTAAAGCTTAATAGTTTACGATCACTGATTTATTTTTTAGAAAGTACCTAAGATTGTTACTATAGTCATTGGAACTTTATCATTATTGTTCTGAGCTTGTAATTTTTTATGGTTGGTATGTAGGGCTGAATCTTGTCATCCATTGTTGATATAGTGACTTTTCTATTGGATGTTTTGATGGAGATTGTAACTGGAAGTTTATAATATCTTTTAGTAACTATCAACAGTGAATATTAACAAGTGGTAGAATGAAAACCTCTAGAAAAGCTAAGAACTGTTGAATAATTTGGTGGCTATCCTGACTACTTATCATAGTGGATAACCTAATAGCATTTTACGAGATAAGTGGTGAATTCAAATACCTGTATAAACAGATACACCATGCTGGAAAATCTTGAATAATGTGAAATGTCGTTTCTAGACAATACGAAAATATGTATCATCATGAACTGTTTGAAGTGTTTTTACAGAGAATAAGGCACTTATTAATTTTTACTGAAAGGAACTAGTTTTATGTATAATCTAAAAGTATTTCAAGAGGGTATTTAACTGTTAACATAATTTATTTTTCATTCATCAACACTACACTTCTTGAAGAATAAATGTGTTTAATGCCAGAAAGAATAATCGGAAAATATTAGACCGAGCAATCATTAACCGAGAAATGTTTAATCGTCTGACTGTTCTAACATGACGATAATAAAATCTCAAAATCTACTTAAATAGTAGACCGAGAAAAGAATTTCTTTTAACTGAATTTTGGTGAAAGGCAGTTTATTAAAGAAAGCCTATGGTTTTATTAAACTAATAGAGCTATTGATCACGAACACTATTTGAATAGTTTTTTCCAACTAACAAATTATCAATTCGATATTTGAATATACTATTTGTATATCATCGTCATGAATTTTAACCAAAATGTGACAACCCAACTACATAAAGCATTTTCAAAACAAAGTTAATGCTGAACTGCAAGTGTATAAGGGAAGCAATACCAGTTAACTAGCGTGTGTTTAAAAGTTGTATACAGAAAATAACATTCCCAGTCGATAGTGTATGCATCATTGTCCATTTTATATCATGGACCTCAATCAATCATTATCGGATGAGACATTCATCAAGATACTTAATGATACTATTTTTCAAATTCGGACTAAATAATTTTCCTATAGTATCTTATACCACTTAAATTCAATTTTTTCTAAAATTTATTTCAACTTTTTAGCATCTAAAGCAATTACACAATTTTAGTTCATTCCTTGCATTATTGTTGGCTATCCAAGAATTACCTGAATGTCTCCTTTCTAAGAAATCAAAACAAGTGAGTTTAAATTTACAATGGACTTTTAAGCGAGACTAAAATTTATGCAAGAACCAATCAAATTTAAGATAACAGGTCTTAGATTTTAATGCAAAATTTATTCATGCATTTGGCTAAATAGCATTTTAGCATTATGGCTGATGTTAATTTGTGAACAAAACAATGAATTCAATTTCTAAGCCTGATGTCTAACTGCAATTTTTTTATAACTATCATTTAACTCTGGTAAGTAGGTGAGTATTCTCAAGGTTATTTTAGCATTGCTAAACGTCCGTCCATAAATTATGGTCTCACCGATTTTTAAAATGTAAACGTTGTTAAACATGAGATTAAACACGTAGGCAGAAACAGTTTTGGACATAAATTTATCTTTTATACATAATTAGTTAACAAATAGTAATTAAGCAAATCAATTAACAACAATTAGCATTTAGCATTTGAAGACAATACAGTCAAATTCAAATCTTGCAGAATATGAAGTAGTGAAACCATCACAACCAATAATTTCATGAACCAACTCTGCAAATACAGTAGCTGTTTTTCGAATATACTTGGATAGATTATGTGAGTTTGTTTAAACCCTGAACCGGGTATAACGTATTAAAAATTATCATTAATGGTATGTTAAATGTAATTAGGAACTCGGTAAACCGACTATTGGTTTCACCATTATTCACTTTTCAAATAAAAGAGGATCTAATATGAAGTGGTTGTTCCTATTTGAATCTGAATAAGGGACAATAGTTGACTCATAAATTTGTATGGCGATAACGAACAATGAAGTACCATAACTTACTAAGTAGTGTTGAAACGTTGATAGACAAATTTAATTAGTAGAATTTATCCAACCACTGTGTTTCAACTATCTGGAAAAGTGAACTACTTTACAGTGGCATAAGAAACACATATATGAATTATATTTACATGCTACTTATTAGGTTAGAGTAGTACTTTTGATTTCACTTAAAAGTACCCCATATTGCTTCAACTCTAAAATTTTCAGTTGGTTGCTGGTTTTTCATCCTATATGAAACCTCCGAATTTCGGTGAATATCGACGAGACTTAGAAACATCCGCATTACCGTGTTTGCCCTATTTAGGATTAATATTTCAACAACTAATTCATCTACATATTGGCAATCCAATTCACCTGTCAACTTCACCAACATCAACCTTGTCTAAAAATGATAAAATAGAACATGATATTGAATCTATCAGAGAACATGATGATTCTTCCCACCAAGTGTTTAAACCACTTAAAATGATAACTACATCACTGAATGCAAATTCGACTGCCATGATTAATGTTTGGAGGTGTTGGAAACACTATATGGTACTTGGTTATTTCATAAAACGAAAAGAAGGATCTGTTGAAAAGTAAGCGAATTCTTAAGAAAAATTGATCATTTTACTCTTTCGTAGTAGATAGTGCATATTTTCGTTAGTTGAAATTTGTGTCCTTCACAGAATATATTTGAATGTAACAGTAGGGTAGTATTTAATGTAATTGATAACTCAAAACACTAAGCACTCATTTCGCTGTTTGCAACCGGATGATTGCACCATCTGATGAAAGACTATATCCCAAGAATAACATTCTCTTGAAAAATAACGTATATTCAACTGAGATATTTAAATATGCAAAGACTCATATAGTTGTTTACTTACTTACGTCTGTTACTCCCGATGGAACATATGCCGCCGACCAGCATTCTCCAACCCACTCTGTCATGGGCCTGCATTTCTACTTCTATACAATTGTTGTTCATTCTTATGTCCGTCTGCATTTCTCGACGTAATGTGTTCTTTGGTCTCCCTCTTCTCTTCTGGCCTTGAGGATTTCAAACGACAGCCTGCCTTGTAAGGCAGTTGAGTGCTTTCCTCAAGGTTGTTGCTGATAGCGTTTGGTCAATGGATCCGAAGTATTTTGTGTAGACAGCTGTTAATAAACACCTGTATCATCTGGATGATGGCTTTCGTAGTTCTCCAAGTTTCCGTCCCATACAGTAGAACTGTGTTGATATTTGTATTGAAAATTGTGACTTTGGTGTTGGTTGACAGTTGTTTTGAGTCCCAGATATTCTTCAGTTGTAAATATGCTGCTCTTGCTTTGCCGACCCGCGCTTTCACATCTGCATCAGATCCACCCTGTCCATCGATGATGCTGTCCAGATATGTAAAGGCTTTTACATCTTCGAAATTTTCTCTGTCAATTGTGACTGGATTGGTGGATGCTGTGTTGTATAGGAGAATCTTGCTTTTCTCTTCGTGTATATTGAGACCTACTGCTGCTGAGGCTGCTGCTACACTGATCGTCTCCTGCATTTGTTGTTGCGTTTGCGATAGGAGGGCCAGATCATCTGTGAAGTCTAAATTGTCCAAATGCATCCTAGATGTCCACTGTATCTCGTCTTCATGATCCATTCGATCACGAGGAGAAAGAGAAAGGGTGAGAGTAAGCAACCTTGCCTAACACCGATCTTTACTTCGAACGAGTTTGTCAATTGTCCTCCATGCACAATTTTGCAGTTTAACCCATCATAGGAATTCTGTATGATATTGACTATCTTCTGAGGCACGCCGTAGTGTCGAAGAAGCTTCCATAGTGTTGTTCTGTCTACGCTATCAAATGCTTTTCGTAGTCAATGAAGTTGATGTAGAGTGATGAATTCGATTAAACTGATTGTTCCGTAATTATCCGAAAGACTTTCATATGATAGAATTCAACTGTATTTTCTTGAATATAAAACATACATTACAGTTATTATTCAAAGTAATTTTTATACGTATGACGAAATAGTTTTTTTCTATGAAAACTTCTCAAAGAAGTTTCACTTTTATATTTCACATACAAGTGTTTGATTTTCATATTAGAAGGGAAAGTATAGTAAATCATTTAATATAAAAATTCGTGCTCGTATTTAGTTGTTCAATAGGAAAAAATAATTAATTTGTTAATCAGATGACGATTAAATGGTGAGTTAACTTTCACAGCACAAATAATTTTAATAGATCTGTAAAAACTAAACGTTATCACACTGAATCTAATCACTACCAGAAACAATTACAAATCCCGAATTAGTATTGGATATTAGCATTAAAATCTTTTTAAAAATTAAAAAAACAAAGATAGCAGCTGTTAATGAAAATCACATACCTACAAGATCACAGGAACTAATCATGTTCTTTGAATGTATTGAAGGATAATATTGTGATTTAAAACATTATAATATATATTGTTACGATTATCAGATCCAATCCAGACATTTGATTAGTTCGATAAACTTTGTAAGTAGCTTATGAAAATGTACAAAATAAAGCAGAATTTATACTACGTTATTTGAATGATCTACTCTTTTCGACTAGTGGAGACGTGATACAGTAAGTCAATGACATGAAGATAAGTTTCAGGTGGTTAAAAGAAGGCGTAATATGCAGAAGAAATTATTATTTAGCCATGAACTGAAAGCAGAAAATATCGTTATTTAACAGAAAATCATTTATATATTTGAAGAGCTCAGTGAATTTTACACTGGGTAATAAAAGTTCAAAATGATTCAGCAATAATTTGCCTACTAATGACACTAGTACGATGTCTTTGTAATTCTGACACTAGATAGGATCTTCTTTCTCTGGTTTCTTGATGAGGTATCCTTTTTCTAGTTTGCCGATACTTGCTCTACCTCCTAAATATTTCCGAAGAGAATGTGAGGCATCTTTGCAGTTAGCTCTATGTCTGATTACAGTGTTTCAGCTTGTATGCTGCCTGGTCCTGGTCTATATCTTTGATGGGTCAATCTGGTTTAATATGTTTTCCTGAGAGCTGCTGTGTTCCATCACATGGTTGTCTCATTCTCTAGCCGCTTTTTCCGCTGTCATTGCTGCATCCATTTATATCTTCATACTCGGTATTTTCCATTCCAGTTTTGATGTTTAGGTCTCCCAACAGGATAATCAGTTCATTTTCAGGACATCTCTTAACAATCAACTGCAGCCTCGTATAAAACCGATCTTTATCGTCTCCACAGCTGTCATTGATGGGTATTCATTTTAATCCCTTTCTTTGTTTCGAAGGTTCCTTTGATAATACTGAAGCCACAAGATTAAAATTCTGTAGGTGTGCTCCATGATTCTTTAGAGATTATTAGTGCAACTCCTTGTGTTTTTTCTTTGTCACAAGGTTTACTACAGCATTGCTTTTTAAGTCAATCTTTTCTATTCAGTTTGCATTTAATGGGATTCATTTATTTTTAAGGATCCGCAGGTTGTATCTTCATATTCTTGCAGCTACTTGAATGGCTCTCTCAGTGTTCCACAATATGCGGACACTCCACTTACCTATGTTAATTATTTATCTTGCTGCCAGGAGAGCTGTCGACCTTATGGTTTCTGAAAATCTCTGCTTACATCATAAGATAGCATAACACATTCATACGAGATCTTTCAAATCCCTGAACAGAGTTTAAATACTATACAGGATTTTTTCCGGTTGGCATTTTTTAGTATGATTTTTGTCTACGGGACAAGGTTGCTAACTCTATACTCAACCTTGGCTTCGTACCGGTAGTTACCCTAAAACATCTCCAGGTGAATTTAAAGCAGCGTAACTTGTTGTAATAAATTCGGTAATAGTTTCACCGACTAAACAAAGGGTAGTTTACATTTGGTAAACATGTGATTTGATCAGTTAAGCTCAGTTCTTTCTAAGTTATGCTTCAAATTAAGCAGTTGATAATAATAAAAGGGATACTACCCCTAACTCCAGGGTTTGAAAAGTCGGAAAAATGAAAATTTCGCAAATGCGATAAAAATGATCTTGGCGGTTTAATTATAGTATTCCGACGTCAGAAAGTGGGTTTTAAGCGTTATTTAAGCCCTAACGCTTCAGGCTGGGCTATTTCGCTTACTACCCTATACATGTGTTGTATGCAGTATAAGCTATATGGCTATATAGAGCTGAAGGTCTCATATGAGGCTGGAGGTTCGCCATTGTTATTGTGGATGGTTCGGCAAGTTTTGCTGACTGTTCATGCACAAAATTTGTTTGCTGGTTAACTGATTTCATTCATACTAGTGGTTGCTTTTCAGTGTTCCCGAGGGCCATTGTCATTGGGACATTGTCAGGCATGTCGCCATTGCTAACATTAACGAGTTTGACTGTCGTGTAAGCGGAATAGGTCAACTTTGGCTTGTTCGTGCTGTGCATAATTGATTCACGCGATCATTGATCGGAATAATTATACATGTGATGTGAATGTGTATATGAATGGTGTGAATGGGCCACCAGGGTGCTTGATACCTGTGTGGTTGCGCCACAGGATTGAGCTGTACTATTCAGATTGTAGCGTTAAAGCCTATACGGTGTCTGGTTCTCCTATGAAGCGGGATTGAGCTGTACTGTTTGGGTTTTTACGTGAAAGTCTGGGTGGTGTCTGGTTCTCCTGAAAACCAATGTAAAATTACCCTGGCCCACAAGAATATATTATATAAATAAATTGTAATAATAAAACTTGGTCTACTTAAATTTGAGTACAAATTATGCGTATGTTTCTAATTTATTTGCTTTGATTCAATATAATAGTATATATATTATATATATATATATATATATATATATATATATATATATATATATATATAATAGTAATAATAATATATAATACCTCGATAAAATATTGATTTCATTTTAAAAGAAGCATTTACACCATAAAATTCCTTTTGTTCGTATTTTCTCTGTTTTCCTATCATAAGCGTTCACCATTTTCCACACAATCCTCGAATTAATCGTATAATTAATGGATTTGAAGATCAATTCAATGACATAGCATTAGATAAAGCCAAAGAACAATTAATTATTATTCTTCAACGTTCAAAACGAAGTATTTTATCATCAAAATGAATCTCAAAAAAATCGGAAAGAAAGAAAAAAGAACCAAAGAAAAGAAAAATCATACTCAGATAATGATCTATTCAGTATTTTGTATTTATAAAATGTTTTTTATCTTTCATTCTGAATTGTCAATCATTTTGTATGTATGTTTTTTCTTTCTACGAATATAAATATTGTTGCAAATAATTCATTAAAACCAATATTCTTTTTTTATTCAATATAATCTTTGTACATAATTATTATATTTTAATTGACAGTTGTCTCAGTTACTGAACGATTGTTTTTGTTCATCTTCTTCTTCTTCTTCTTCTTCTTCTTCTTCTTCTTCTTCTTCATCGTCATCATCATCATCATCATCATCATCATCATGGGGTTAAATTTTGTTTATTTTTTTGTCTTCGATTTCATTTCTATTTGTTATGATAATTAATTCTGTTTGTTTTTCTTGTCTTATTTTTTTCTCTATTTTTTTTTTGTTTAACTAAAATTTGTAAACACAGTTGTTCTTTTCTTAAAATTCAAAAAGTTTACACCTTTTCTTAAATATTACCCATGTAATGCAATGAATAGATTTCGTCTATTCATTCTTTAGTATTAACAATCACTGTTTTACGATATTTATAGTATTCTATCGTTTATAACAAAATTACAAATATACATTTTGTGGTATATTTAACACTTATGAGAAATATATTTCTTCGTATACAGGTACATCGAGTTTACATATTACATTCGTTTGGTGTTATTCAGGTCTTTGAGATAATGTTTAATTACAAAATGAATTTCATGCTGTCCATATCGATAATGAAATCATGACAGATAGATCGTCTTTCTCCAAGAACTTGGAATCACCAAAGAAATCCATCTGAGTTGTAAATTCTTTTCCACCATTTTAAAGATAGTATTAAAATGAATTATAAAAAATATTTTGACGTTATCATGAAGCAAGAATCATTATGAGAAGTAGAATTATTTTGGTGTTTTCTAAGATCACTTTCTCTGTCTCCGACCATAGATTTGTAAATCAAGCTTAATCGCATGTTTTAACCACTTATAAAAAAAATCTAGTTTAAAAAGCATCATTATTAAGGTGAGACTTGATAATTTCAATAAAATATTGATATATTTGTGATACTTAAATTACTTACTTACGCCTGTTACTCCTCAAGGGGGAGCATAGGCTGCCCACCAGCACTCTCCATCCAACCCCGTTCTCAGCAATCCTCTCCAGCTCTTCCCAGTTGTTATTTATCTTCATATCTGCTTCTATTTACCGACGTAATGTGTTCTTTGGTCTTCCTATTTTATTATTTACTTTATTATTCCAAATTAGGGATCGCCTCATGATTCAGTTTGATGATTTGCGTATTGTATATTCTATCCATTTCCATCGTCTTTTCCTCATTCTATTGAAATGACGAATGGATATAAAGAAAACAACCTTCGAAAATCTGAAAGCACTGAACAGGTGTTCTATCATAGTGTAGGACCCCTCAGCAGTGCACATCAGCGACCCTAAAATTGGAAAAGAAAAACCCAGGGATTACAGTCACAATTGACTTCCAAACTACTGAGCTGGGATTTGCTGGCATTCTAGTCGAACTTAACCTTTAAACACGATTCTGTAAATATATAAAACGTTTTTGTACTTTATTCGAATTAAGATGTTTTGAAGTATTTGTTATTTTGTAGAAAGTTTTAATTTTGTAACCTTACGTGATTCGTTACACTTTTCCCGATGTACTATGGCAGTAACGTAAAACTACAGCATCAATCCATGTTATTCAAAGTCAAAGGCTTTCGTTTTAATACGTTTTGAATGGTACTTTAGGGACAATTGTTAAATTATATGATGTTTTCTATAGTTCCACGTTGCACATATGATTGTATCTTTCTACGTCATCAGAGGTTACATAATATTTCATGCTCGTTTTTACCACACACTTCTAAAAAGTTTAATTTGTCCCATTTTTACGTTATTAAATAAAATAAATTAACTATTCAACGAAATGAGACCTTTCACATGTATTTTCTTATCATAATATGCATATATCAAATAATATAGTTGAATAATTAGCAATTTGTTTAATTTGCATATGCGTGAATACTGAGAGTAATTAATGCCGCTATCGATCTCATTTCTTCTTTTCAAGGTGTACACATTGTCTAATATACTTACATATACGTTTTACAAAATATGATAAAATCAGTCAATATTTATCACTACAATAACTAGTCTTTACAACATTTGTACACGTACAATATAATCCATCTTAGGTTAACATGCTTATACTTCAGTACATATATATTACGTAGCTGTTTATTTGATTAGTCAATATATACGTCTGAATGTAAGTGAATTTGAATGACAAATCAGCATAATAGAACCATGATATTTTATTAATCCATAGACATTTTGAATATGACATGAGTTGTTTTCGGATTGATTGTTCTATCTATATCAATAACTATAAAATGACAACATATACTGATTGATCGCTGAGCAGTAACCAATTTTATAATTGCCTAGTCGCGAATTTTGATTGAATTCTATCGACCAAGCTGCAATATGTCCACTAGTCTAATTCACTAGATATCATATTTATGTTTAGAGGCAGTCAACAGAAAGCTCTTAGCCTTAGTGTCGATCAATTTTATATTCGTCAGAAAGACATATTTACTTATCATATGATTTGAACTTGTATCAACCAGCTTGACAGTTTGAGCCGTTATTAATAAGGTATTTGGACCACAACTAATTATATGTGTGGCTGAGATATTCATATTGATTGATTACTTAGTAACTATCAGTGTCATGAATCGGTACACGGTTAGTCACAAATCCTATAATTCATGTCAAAAGAGTATTGGTTACTTTAACACAAAGGATTCCTACATTGATAAATGTAAGAATGACCTGTTCAAAACATTATAACATTAGTTTAATTGTACTTTATGTTACATTTTCGATGCTGTAATAAGTTATTCAGTCATTATTAACATAAAATAGAAAAAAAACAGCATCTTGGTCCAAAGATTTATATTTACTTCAGTTACTTCATATTTCTAATTCATGAAATAAACCTAATTGAATTAACCAGAATTGGTTATTGAGTCTTTGTCAAATAGTTTACTTTTTTTAGATTACTGTTCAAATTTTACGCTACAATCACAATTGTAGAAGAATTACTAACTCTGTAAAATCCTTTTCTTATTGGCGCATATTGATCTTTTCTTTTTTTTCATCATAATATTATACGTTTCTGTGGCGAAAATTGATTGTTACCATGTGAATGCCAAGATTATTATTTTTTCATTAAAAGTTATTTGTTTTACAGATAATAACCAGTTTCAAACATAAGTTTACTGGGCAAATTTTGATTAACTTTTTCTCTTCAATAGAGGAAAGGATTTTATTAAAAGATTTTCTCCCAAGTGACACACCCAAAATAGATAAGAAAGTGCTTAGAAAACTAACTAAAATGAACAATTCAGTATACAAAGGACATTTTTGTGAGTAGTATTTTAAATCTTTTTTTTATTATAGGAACATTTATTTAACTATTTCAAAATGTGACTATTTATAAAACACAGAAAGGTTGGACTTGAAGTTTGATTGAACAAAAGTAGTTAACATGTCAACAAAGTTATTCGGCTTATGATATTCGATACTTAACAAAACACATTTTGAACGATAATAGATAGTTAAGTGGAAAAAAATGGAACTAGGATTCAGTGTCCACTGGTGCTTTTGGTTATTCTTAGTTTCTATACTATGGTTATGAGATGTAACAAATATATATAGTTATCAAAGGATCACTCGAATTCACATCTACGTAACTTACCCTGAATATTTAACTTCATCTAGTAATGTGTTTGATCAAATGTCAAACCGATAATCACTAACTGACTTCAAAGCTATATGAAAGACCAGTGTAAATTTGGATGTCACATTGTTTATAAATCTGTTCATACTAACAATCTATGATAATCTATGTATTTTGTTATATTTTTGCTTTCTATATTTAACAATGTGGCATTTTTCACGTTCACCGAAATTTATCGTTTCACAAATAACAGATATTTTTTCTTAAATATTGGTAGCCATTTCAATACACGCAAATCATGAGTCAATTGAAGCTAGACCACCGTTAGAAACCTGGAAACATTGGACGGCCATTTCTTCTTATTTCGGGACTCCTCAGCAGTGTGCATCCACGATCCCGCCTCGCGAGATTCGAACCCAGGGCCTATCGGTCTCGCGCGTGAACGCTTAACATTTAGGCCGCTTAACCGGCATCCAATTATTTAGTCATTTCCCTTATATATTTATATTCATGTACCATATTGAAAAAAACATTTGATTAACTTCTTAACTTCGTTTGAAAATAATCCAATTCATTTAAGGCCAAATAATTCATGTAGAATTGTATAATTTAATTTATACATGTACAATGAAATAAAACTATTTATCGATTTAAGTTCCAATCAAACCTTTCATATTTTATGAACTATTCAGTTGCCATCAGGCATTACAGTACAGCTTGCATTTTTACTCCATGGCTTATGTAAACCATTTAAGGAATAATATCAAGATTCATAATGATCGCAGAAGCTTCTTTTAAATGAAATCATAAAGATTAGAATGATGACTTTATTATATACAATTGGTTGATCATAAGGTGGTGATCAATGTTATGTGTGTCAGGTCCTTCTTAGCGCAAATCAAATCCTATAGACCAAGTTTCAATGTGGTCACTAGTCTTGGTGACTCGACATTGCGTGCACTATGACATTGATCACCACCCAGTGATCAATCAATTGTAAATACATCTTAGTTCTACAGGAGGTCCGTCGCGGCTCGGATAGCCCAGCGGTAATGACCCTGACTGTGAACCTGGGTGACATGGGGTCGAATCCGTCAGAGAGAATCAGTTCCCTAGAGATCACAGGTACACCTTGCCGACAAGTGCCAAGTAGTACGAAACCTAGGTCCAAACTTTCCCGTT